AATAATTTTTTTTACCATTTCATCTATTCTGTCCCCTCTTACCCTGTTTTGCTCGTCAGTTGTACAACAGTGTAACATTGCTTGGTAGAGAAACTGATAACGATTTTGGCTCAGGTTTATTTAAAGAGAGTTGTTTGAGAGGGCTGCTTAGTGCTCCGTTACAGATACAGTTGACAGCTCCACGATTCCCATGTTGAGAATCAGACCGATTGGAACATATATCTCGACTGTAGTTTGCTCCAGCAATTTTCGTACATGCGTACTTATTGGTGTCCTGTGCAATATGGCTTACGAGGTCTTCATTGGAAAATAATTGAAATTTTGAGAAAATTGTATTTTATTAATTTTGTAAAAACTACATGTACTCAATACTCACGCTGATAACCTTCATCCGTTCGTTCTTAATCATTCGGCGTCGGGAAAACAAAAGCTTTGAAATTGTTTGTCCAAAAAGGATTAGTGCGAACGAAACTATTAGGATCATCCGTAATTAATTAACAACATGAACTGCAAACGATGTTAGCCTATTCGATATTTAATATGATGTGATATGTAACAAGAGAGCTATGCTCAAATATATGGACACGTAGCGCCACCCAAGGGCAATAATTTTGATGACGTCATAGCGGGAAAAAAAGTAATAGCCTTATGGAGAAAAATTTTATCTTTAACCACTGAAAATTTCAAAGCAATTGGTCCAGTATTCGAAGAGAAAAGCGATTTTTTAATGATAATGACGAAAGAAAATAATAACAACAAAATTTTGAAACGATCGTTATGGCCACTAAACGTGTCCAATAATGAACTATTAGTACTTGAATATTGTTGTTTTTCAATCTAGAATCTAGATGATTTTTTTTGCCAGCGGCGCAGTAAGCAAATAAAAAAAATTGCGGCACAATCAAATAAACAAAGTTATTCTGCAAATGTGGGTGCGATGGATGTGTTTTGAGGAACAAATAAGATGGTTCCGTTGTTGCCAAGCACACTCGCATTTCGTCGTTCATTCCAAGAAGTTGCTTCCAATTATTGCATTTAATTCCAATCAAAGCAGAAATTCCGTGTTCACACAGCTATGAAGATGAAAATGGCAAGATTATTTTGATGGCTTTTGCACCGGTGATTGGATAGGATTTGTGGGCAGATAGTCAAAACTTGTTTCCCTGTTAGCCTAACTGAGCGCGCACGTCAACATGGTGGAAGGTGGACGTCTTGTTCACAAATACAACATAATCCAATACAAATATATCGTGACAATCACCCATACTACATATTATCGTTTACCTAATGCAGGGGTCACCAAACTTTTTTGACCGCGGGCCAGGTATGACTCAAACGGTGTTGAAACGGGCCGGACAAATATTTTTGTCAATGCAATACAATAAATTTCCAAAAGTTGGGAAATCCATTCAATTTATTCAACAATATGGATTCTACATTTCTGAAGTCTTGAATATTAAATTCTATATATATCGCAGAATATAGAGCAAGAACATCATAGCAAAACAAATAGGCTATACAATATTTCTAGGCAACTATCATGAGTTTAGCTGTTAGCAAAACAATTGCTGTCATGAATATCCGCATGTAAGCAGTAAATATCACTTGTACTATTAGCGCAAAATGCACGTTAGACGTTCATTTTAGTACGAGAAACGTACACAGCAACAGTTTCGCCGAAAGCACGCGCCACGTGTGCATCCTTCACAGAAGACGCTGCGTACCGGTAGAGAATTTTAGCCTATTTTATCACAACTATTTCTAGACAATTTTTTATTACTGCAATTAAACTGAAACTCCTAAAAAGCAAAATAATGATTGACTTATTTGAGTAATTTTTTGAATTTCGGAATCACGACCAAAAACTAACGAATAAAATGCAAAATGGCGAAAACGAGATATTGTTTGAAACCACGGCTGAAAATCTGTCCGAGTGACGAATGTGTCTGAGCGAAAAGGTCTATTGTTAGGTCACGTTTTGCATCTTGCTGATTGGCCAATGTTACGAAATAAACAAGGAAGTCGATGATCGGGGAAACATCCCTAGCAGAGATGAGCGGAGTCATAATTTTCAGACTCCGACTCCGTCCTGATCCGAAATCAAAATTCGAACTCGGAGTCCGACTCCGAACAAAGAAAACTATGACTCCTGTTTCGCTCCTGTTGACAAATCTAATATTGACCAAATTTAGTGTTCACTACAGCAGCAACATCAAAAACGTGCTGCGCTGATGTTTTTTATGATGTTTTTCCATCCTGACATCTGAAACATTTGAGAATATCTGAAAATATTCATTATTATGTTTCCCAGACTCACATTTAAACATTGCTAAAACTAAAACCACTGACTATGGGGGGGGGGGGGGATTATGGGGGACTGACTATGCATTATAGTGTTCACTACAGCAGCATCTAAACATTGCAAAGTCACACTAGCGCACACTCATTACTATGTTCAATGACATAACAAAATTCAGGGATTGTATAAAAAATTAGTTATAGTCATAGAATAATATTTTGCTTGAGGCTTGCTCACCCCATTAATTCAGTGTTCACTACAATCACATTTAAATATTGCAAAGTCTGCATAGAACTGATGCTTCATAGCCACAATTACATTCAAGTATTCAACATTATTCTTCGCCAAGAGCATGTTCCATCTGTTGATTATACAGTGAGTGTTCTACAATCTACATAACAGTGAACAGTATAGGATGCATTTCCTTGGTAATGCACACCAAATTCACGACACATACCGGTACAGTTCCGGTACCGGTATTCGCTACAACCCGACAACCGCATCCAAACACAGAACACCAGAACTCTGTTTAAAATTATAAAACACCCAGTTCAGGCTTGTACCGATACAGAAGTGGTCAACACAGATTCATAAATGGTACCGGTAGCATCCTGAAGAAGCACGATTATGTATTAATTCATTATGTACGGTACAGATAATTCAAGTCCGTTCAAATTATGCCTGCACCGGTACGTACAGACGACGTACGGTACTTCTATCGGTCACGGTATATTATAGATTTAGTTGGGACTCCTGATTGACTCCGGGCAACCAAGAATGTTCCCACTCCTGATCCGATCCTGTTTGTTGAAAACCCTGCCGGAGTCCTGTTTTTCGGAGTCCTGAATCCTGTTTGTGCTCAACACTAATCCCTAGGAAAAAAATTCGCCATTTTTTCGTGTTATTGTTGATCTAATGATAGTGCGCACTCGAGTCTCAAACGCTTGCCCGCATGCCTATGTGTAATACAAATAGCTTATTTTATAGAATTCGAAAAAAATCCCATGCACACCTGAGATCTCTCGCACACAGTTTAAGAGACGCTGGTTAAGGGGTACTCCCGTAGTATGTGAACCAATATGGCGGACACCGGAACGTAGTATGCGTACCAGGTTAGGATTAGGCCATAATTTCAGGTACAAATACTACGGGAGTCACTCGGCTAGTCCCCAAACTCGTAATGGAACTAAAATAAGGAAAATTGGAATAAAATTTTGGCCTAACTCTAGCCTGGTACGCATAGGCTACTACGTTCCGGTGTCCGCCATCTTGGTTCACATACTACGGAAGCGCCGGTTTAGGCACTAGAGACTAGACACTATTGGTTTTGACTGTTGTCCGGTTGTGGGAGGTTTTAGCCTTCAAGTGACGTGACGCCATTTCAAACTTTCTGCCCTTATTGACGGTACACTATGTTTGGCTAATATATCTCACTTATACAATGTAGAGGGCCCCACTCTAATCTGTTTCTTTTCATTTGAAACATTCGACCGAAACTTAATTTAATAGAACTAGACTCTTAAACTTCTCAATGACGGGTGACACTTGACTAGAGTATTACTCTACTCGAGGAAAAATGAAAATTTGGCGGATCCCAGCAGAAAACGGTAAACCGCAACTCCGGGGTCCGACTACACCAGTTGTTGTCAACCTTTTAAATGTGGCAGAATGCCAATGAAACATTCTAATGCCCCGAGGAACACCTGTTTGGATGATTTTTATTATTGTCTGATCTGTACAAACTATATATATGTATATAATCAAACCTGATGATTGCAATGCAAAATTATTTTCAGAGTGTGGCATGTCTAGAATAGTGACAAACCTGATGTATCTGATTATTCTTAATTAAACAATAAACATATAATAATATAGACTTTCGAATTTTAGTGAAATCTGGCGGAACCTCTGGACTATTCTGGCGGAACACTGGTTGAAAATCACTATACTGCACAGTCAGCCATCGTACAGAATGTTAATTTAGGTGTCTTCAACTATTGTTAATTTATCGGCCTTGTGACAACATTACATAAGTAGATCTTCGATCAAACTTATTTTTGAACTCACGAAGTGTTTTATCGGATTTAATACATATTAGAACTAATAATTTTGCTATATATTCAAACGAACACAATGTCATGGAACGTCCTTACTGTCAATATGGTGAATATTGTGTATTGGTGCTTATAATCTTACACCACCCAACTCTCGTTTTCGAGAGTGCGAAGTGCCGCGATCTTAGAGGAATTTTCCCAATTTGGCTTATTTATGGATCTAGCCGACAGATTTAGTATCATCTCAGGTAAACCTAAAAATATTGAAAAATACGAAATAAATATGAATCCAATGTCCAATATGATGCCTGATTCCTATACTAAATACATTGGCTTGCGCGAGACCGCGCTTGTTGATAAACATTCTATACAATTCAAAATCCATTTTGACAGATTACACCAGCATTTCAATTTCTCTGTGTTGTTACATCAAACAATTTTTGCAGTTTGTTAACATAACAGCGTCAATAACTGCTCATGGTGGACACCGTCACGGAAATTCATCAGCCGAATTGATTTCCTATTACTTTACCAATATAGGCCGTATTCATTACGCTACTGTAAAAACAGTTAATTTTTCGTTAGTTTAAAATAGGCGTATATACGGTGTTCAATGTTCTTTTTGTGCGGAAAATGCAGACAGTTACGTTTTAGAACTTGTGAAACGCATCATTTCCACGCGCTCAGGATATGACAAGTTTGACTGAATAGATATTGAAAAGCTTCAGTATCGTAGATAATCATATTTTGGTATTGCTTCTGCATTTTTTAACAGTTTTCAATTGTCAATTGTATGGAATTGGGTGACAGAAATTTTCGACATTTTGAGAAAGAAGTTGGACAACCTTTTGTCTGGACTCAATGATAAAACAGAAAATGCATTTTGTTCATGCCAGGCGTTTTATGATACTTCAAACGCGAGATGCATTTTATAAAATCGAAAAAATGGTCAACCGTGAAAAGTGCACAGCATACATGAGCTTGTCATTATTTTTAAGCATTCTATTTATCATATTTGTCTCCCGGATTCATGCCGCCAGCAAAGATACAACAACGTTTCCTTCTGATTCACAGTTTACCGGTGAGTGACATCATTATTTGTATTCTTCCGATTTTTTATTATTAACTTACAGAACGTTGCTGTACCGCATCATGATGACATATATATACTTGCAGTGGGCAAAATTTGGGAACAACATTCAATCTTATTCCGAATCTCGCTATCATTTAAATATATCATTCTTCACTTTTACATGTACCCAGCTCGGTGTATATCCTATTTGTTCTTCGCAATAATTTTGTAATTCAATTAATAAGGTACTGGTGAATGTGGACAATTTCCTTGCATGGGGAAGACAATGTGTGATGATATTTATGATGGATTTCTTAAAATTGACAAGACAACACCGCCATGGAAATGTAAGAGTTGTATATTAACAGCCTCAGCAAATAGTTTTATAAACTACGTAACTAATTAATTAACTAATTTTAGATAAATCATGGACAATATTTCGCGGAGTTCTTGTCAACAGGCATCTTGAATTTAGACGAAAGAATTGTACGATACGTTTGCTCGAGTCTGAATCAGTAAAATACGACACCAATAATATGGGCATAGGAGGAAGCTTAGGTGCATTTCGAACAACAGTTTGTCAAAATTTATTGGGAGAAAACAAGTGTAGAATTAATGATACAATTCATGATTGGCCAATACTTAAAAGGATACTCCGTTCAAAAGGTTAGTTTTCGTACTTATTTATTTTCGATAAGAAATAATTAAAAGCAGTATTTTTTTGCAATTTTACTTTTTGATTAGACAAAGATTAGACTTTCAAACGATAAAGCGATTGTGAGATATAGCTCTCAGAGAACAACAAAGTGCGCCATCTTGTTGATACTGTAGAAAAGCAGAAGAATCATTAAATTACAGAAAGATAGTGTTACAGACACTATATTAAAGTATATATCTGTTGAGTAATTAAAATATTACCGAACCTCCGAATGTTACGAACATTTAAAAAAAAATTGTGTCGAGTTGTGATAAATACCTTTTGTACCAATTATATACCAATAGTTAAATTATTTCAATATTTCTAAGGGATCTTGAAGGCAGAATTAATACGAGATTTTTCCCCTCCATTAAAATGTGCAACACAGAGACTGGTAAACCGCATCGTTCGTAGAACTTCATTCAAAAGAAATGGACGAATGACGTTACAGGACTTAACTTACGCTGATAAAGCTTCGCTACTTTTTAAATTGAGATTTGCCACGGGTTCTTGGATGCAGGTAAACCAGGTTCAAACTTTTCTTTTCTGCACATATAAAGTGTCCGTCAAGTAATGCAAAATTACAGTATATTTGACGATCTTCTGATTGATTGAAAAATTATACTAATTTGTGTATTTTTCAATTGAAAAGCTGGTATTTGGTAAAATCTAAAATATAGGTTTTGGCTGGATATTCAATAGCTATATTAGCATTATCCAGCTTGTGATATTATTTGACAAACACAACATTTAACGATGGTGTAGCATCTAAGCAGTAAGAAATTTAACCTGGCCTAGTTTGTGATATCAATTTAAAAAGAATACAGTGAAATATGTTTCAACAAAAGGCCCTAATGTTTTCTTGGAAGGATGCATTCCCATCAAACGAAGGTTGGCCATTTGGATTAACATACGGAACGTGTGGAAGAATTGCAATTCATGCTGAAATGGGTACTATGACACTGGCGGAGGCACACAATCTACCTTGGAAACTACGGTTAGATTTGGCGGCTCAGGTACTATTAATTTATATGTCAAGATTTACTAACTTTTACGAAGTGTACAATATACAATGATGTATGACTACTGGAGGAAAAAATGGAAAACTATGCCGTGAAACAAGATAAATATAGCGTCCGACATATCAAGCTGTTATATCTATGGTACTAAAACAGCATGGAAGTAAAGTGAAAGTAGAGGAACATATAAACTTTCATCAGAAAAGAATTATGATCATAAATAAGTTTCATTTTCATTTTTTTTCAGCTGATGGAAATGGCGTTACAACTTTTACATAGTGATGATAAATATTTGTTTTTAATTGATAAACTCTCACTCAACGATTTTGTTATTTCAAGAGAAGGAAAACTTAAAATAATAAATTCCGATGATGTCACTGTGATTGATATTGCTGAAAGTAAACCGAGTAAGAAAGTTAGATTGTTTTTTGCGCAATTCATTTTTTCAAACCTTTCGTTTCCTTTATCTCCAAACAATTCTCACAGTATTTTTTTGCTTTTATTTTCATTCAGATAACGAAGATGTAAATGATGATTGCAAAAATGTACGACACGATCTCAACATAGTTTTTGTTTGTGGTATATTGTTTTCCAAAAACAACAGTATTGGTCTTCTCCATGACCCTGAGGAATCCGTGGTATGTTTTAATTGGGTGATAAATTAAGCTTTCTTCAGGTTTTATCGTTTTTAATTTACTTAATTATATTCTTCAGGCTTTTGTAAGTCTGCTGACAGCATTACTCGACGTTTGTTCGAACCGTTCGCCTATGCCAGGATCAAAGTCCTTTGCTGGTGATAATATCGATATGGCCAAAAATATTAACAAACTGTTTTTGACTGTTCGTCCATGTTCGGAAGAAGTTCCATATCGATTTCCAGAATGTCAAAGCATGGATGAATCTGGTGAAATATATCACATTCCTTGGCAAGAAGTTGCCTAGAATGACAACCAAATTATTGAAAACATACTATTTGTGTCAAAATAAAGTAAGAAAGAGTCAGTTGTGAAAGTGTGCAAGGTCAATCTTCAATCGTCGGTTGTGATTTAGGATGAAAACCTATGTTGGTCGCAAATATTGAATGTATTTACGTTCAATATGCTATGACTAAATATTCATTAATTATTCATTTGAACTAAACTTACTTGCTTCGAATACTTTTATAGACTTTGTTCAAAAATTATTAGCCTTATGAGGCATCGCACCAAACAGACAAGACCAACAGACACATACCTAATAGGCAATTGTTCAATTCACCCGCAACCGATGAGACCGGGTTCCTTATTTCGTCATCACGTCTAATGATTGTCTTCTTTTTGAAGTCCTATCCCAATAATCTCAATCTGATTCTTAACTAATCCTGATGATATATATCGCTTACCCTTAACTCCCTATCTTGTCTTTTACGACTAATTAAATAATCCCCATTTCACTGCTCATTCGGAACAATTCAAGAATTGGAGTTAGCCTACTTGTCGTCATTGATTCACGATAAGCCATGGCTAACATTTTCTATTCTCGTCACTGTTTTTGTTTTGTACATTACTATCTCGGTAAATATCGCTTAACACAAATATTGAAGAACATCTCGAATCACTCGGGCTTCTCACACATAAACTATATATATGATGCTTGTTATCAATATCATCCCATGGAGGATTTACCCATTCGTTGACTCTGGTAACAAAAAAAATACAAATTGTCCTGAATCTCTATGATTAAGTCAATTCTGGGTTATGAGCAAGATACTTTAGCAAAGTCTGTAATGGGGGCTCCGTTAGGCCTATCACATTATGTCTAGTGGACTTTAAAAATCCTAAAATTGGTTTACCTCAATTGTTTCCAGTCTTGATCCAAACGTCATATACTGATATATGTTAGAAGGATAAACTTATACGTCTTTTAGCGCGACAGTGGTGCGTGTAACTATTCTACCATTACTCTTTCCTCTTCAGTTTGGAGTTTAATATCTTGCTCTGAGCAAACTTGTATAAAGAGAAAACTTTTCGACTGATTATTTTTTTACCCACCTCACAATTGTTAGATCAAAATATTAAGTTTTAGAGCAGTTCAAATGTAAATTCGGGATGCACAATCAGTGTAGCAAAGCCCCCGAGATTCAAACACTAAATGGTATTTGTACATAATTTATTACAAATAACGTAAGTGTGATTAGTATTATAGACAAAGAAAATGTAAAGTGCCAACCAACAGAAAGGTAATCCTAGGTAGGTAACAAAGTCAAAGCCACCTCAAACGAGACAAGAGTTTAACAAGTAGGCTACATGAGGAAATATGGCACCGGACGTTGGGCCTGACACATTTACAGGACTGCAGCGTCGGCGTCTGGATTTGCAGTTTGGTTTGTTGTATCAATATTAGAGTCTGAGCAGGAGTCGTATTTTCGAACTCCCCGGAGTCGGAAATCAAATCATAAGTTAATTTTGAATCCCTGGAGTTGCTGTAGACAAAGAATTCTCAACGGTAAACTAAAGTCTGCATGCGCCAGTTTTTGTTTTGAACGTTTGGTTATTCTCAGCACGTGGAGTTTCAATCGGAGTCAATTCCTTCAAACTGAACTCGGGATTCGAAGTCGGGATTGTATGATGTTCATCCAATTTGTTCGAAGTAGCAAGATTTATGGGAAGCAGAATCGTGCTTTATTTTTACATTCTAGTCTGTTCTAGTTCTGACAATTTATCCACACATGTTATTTCTTCACTTTCAAATTACACATTAATGGTGAAGAAATGCCATGCCGAAGTATAATCCTACTCCTTGAGACGCGTATGTGTGATTTCGGCCATAATTCCACGGTTTCACTCCGACTTTGTCACCTGGATGCAAATAGAATACTCCAGCATGGTAATTCGAATCGTAGGATCTTGAAAGAGTTGGTATTCCACTTTTTGCTGTTGATCTGTGTGTGAAGTTAAATGCATACATTGAGACAGATTATAAAAACCTATCAAATCTTCTGGACAAAAAACTTACAGAGTGTACCTCACAAAAATGAAATTTTCGAAAATTTTATCGATGATATTTTCATGCATATTCATATGCTTAGTAGTCGTTTATACATTGGCGCGTTAGTTTAGCTTTAGTTCAACAAATTCAGAGGTAGGCTACCCACGATAGCCATCACCATACCCACGAAAGTGTGGTTAAAATTTTTGTAAACTATCTGCCGAGCGGGACATATGATTATCCCATACTCAGTAGGCCGTGAAATTAGTGGTTATCTCAAGTCTCGGAGAATCGAATAAAAACGAGCTCACTTTAAGAGAATCAGTTGTTTTGTTTTCTACAATGAAATTTCCGTATGTCAAACTCCAGTAGTGACTACTCATATAATATCACATTCCAAAAACTCGCAAATATTGACATATTGGACACGAAAGCTTTAATTTAATTACGTACAATTGCTGTGTATTCAGAGATTTCATAAGTACGGATTCGTCTCCATTTCCAGCTGCTATTTTGACGGTTTCATGGCCAATTTTAAACAATCCGTGTCCAGAATAGGTGACCTGTTTACAACAATGAATGTAACATTTAATATAACTGAATATATAAGTAACTGCGTTAAAATAGGATTATGAAATTCTTCCACAATACAGATGAGTACTTTGATAAAACCAAGTAGTTATTGCCCAGAATCCAAAGATTCCGAGTCTAAACCTGATGAACATCCATAAAAATTCCATGCAACCTGTGAATACACCATGTAGTATCCTCTTGTGTTGACCACAATCAAGGTTCCAGTTTCAGACTCATCCAATTCCATAAGAGAGAAGGAATTTTGTCCCAAAGTCCAACGAAAAAAGTTACCTAAAATATTTGAAAGCATTGAATATGTTTCCTTATCCACGAGTTGAAAGACATTTCCAACATAACTTGGAAATGGGGTTTGGGTTGAAAACGCTCACAAAACAATCGTAAAACTATATTTAGTTAGTTGACTTTGATTTTGTGGTTTAATATTTCAAAATAAGGCATATCATCGGATTCGACAATGTATGCCCAACTTATTTACGGTGAGCGGGCTTTGTGATTTCAGATCTTGTGGAATAATAAATGACAAAGGAAAAACAGAGAGAGAGGGCATTTCCGGACAAAGAGAGGTTGTTATATCTTAAAAAGCATTTCGGCCACTAGGTTTAAAATAATTTAGTTTATACGAACAATTATTCATATTCTCAGCATTTTAGCTCTTTTCGGTAAACAAGAATTACGTTGCATGTAGTTAGAATGTATGATGTGTTTGTTTAACCGCATCCAATACATAAACATTCGCATTTTATCCACTAACTATCTGTTCTCGCCTGTATATGTTTGTTATGATTTTTGGGTAATCACCAATACCATATGATGAATGGATCGGGTCAATCACACAAAGCTGAAAAAGACGTAGGCTAAGTGAGACAATAAGTCAACACTCAGCCGCGTGGATTAGAAAATGTGAAATTCTAATGACAGATGAAGTAACTACAAAACAAAATAAATCGAAGTGAAAGTATCTAATGGCATTAAAAGTCACTGTAAATCAAGACGAATTTCATGGATAGCCTACCGTATTGCGGTATCTGATTTCCGTAGGTTCGGTCGTTCGGCCCCGCGTGCCCAATGAGATGTGCTGCAGGATAATCCCACTGACCTAAAATGTGAAAGTAACTTTCAAATAATCTACAATTCGACGAAAAATTTAATTCCAATGTTTTAAAAATTGTCCAAAAAATTTTCTTACTTGTCCATTCCCTTTTTGCTCTTCTTAGTATATCACTATTTTGTTTCATATTCTGCAGTGAAAAACTAATTGTTAGAAAAGTATATATGTAAATAGGCAGTTACTCTATTTTTAGTCACATTTTAGTGTTTGGAACATTTAAAATGAATTTCAAACTAAATTTATCAGTATTATCTACCTCTTCGACATCTCGAACTTGCATTTGATCCAAATTCTCTTTCTCTTTTTCAATCGCTCTTACTAGAACTGTTACCTGGGTAGAAAAAATATAACTTAATACATGAGTATATCACTAGAACATAATCAAGTCTAGCATAAACATTAACCAAGAATAGCATATTAACCTGAGTTTTAATCACAAACTGAGTGTACAACGCCATGATGCCAAATCCCATCATGAAGGCAAACAAATATAAAGACACTGATGGAATAGTAGAATTATAGCTTGCATTCTTTTTTTGTGGTTTTGTTTGCGTTAAATATATTTCGTATTCGGCGACGCCACTGCCATTTTCAGAATGTTTCGGGGCAACCATGCTTTGTTTTTGTGTTTTCTTTTCCCAAATTATCACAAAAATCTAGCCATACAATGAAAAAAGAAGAATTAGTTTTCTGTGAAATAAAAAAAATAGTTATTATGATTTACTTCAATTATGAGGCAACTAATATAGATCAGGAGGCAACAGCGCCACTGATACACAACCTTACATACATAAGCTTAGAGACTTCCAACTAAAATGATGATGACCTATTTTCAAAAATATTCTTTCATTTATACAAGTTTCTAGCTTTTACATTTTGTGCTACTATAGTCACATTCCTAATAGTTGCTGAAAATCGCCTCTTGTCTTTTACTCTACATTTATATTTCTCGACTGGAAAACAAGTCGCGCGAACTGACGACGTGCTCTTTCTAGTTGAAATGGTATAGTAAGAATATTTTCGCAATATCTGTTTATTTAAGGAAAAGAAGGTGACTTCCTGAAAAGGCAATACAACTTCCGATTGGCTATTTTCTGCAGAGAACAACGAAGGCACAAGTGAAAACATATTTTACCAAGTACGTGTTTACGCGAAAATGACGCAATGATGCAAATGCCATTGCATTTCCACCTTCCGTATTGTTACACAGTCAAACTTAAATCTAAACAATTATAGAAATACGCTCCCTTATAATATATTATTATACAGGTGGATAATAAAGAAGATATAATTCGACCTCAGGTCGTGCTTTTTTCTTTGAAACTTTTAAACAGTGGCGTACCAGGAGGGGGCGTTCGATTATCATAAACTCTTCGTATTGTGACATCACTATTGCTCACAGCAGCTACAAACTTTCGCGATCCATGGCTTTTTTCCAAAGACTATTATTAATCTTGCCCCACTTCTCAATAAAATCATACAGTTTCGATTCAACTGAATTTTATCAGTTTATTTATTTGCCATGTTTATGATGAAAATTGAACTGACCAATCATTAACAAATGAAATCCCCGAGTCCCTTTAGGTTATGCAATACTGATGCGAAGTTTCCTAGTGAAAACCCTCCCCCTTGGCCCCTGTGAGCTGCTCCGTGGTCTCCAGGGGATCTTGAGGGCGCTGCTTGGGGAGCCCTGTCCTAGTTCTTTAACGTTTGATACGATATGTTATGCTCTTTCAACATGTTATGTGATCGTGGTGTAAGTGTTTCTTTACCCTGTAATTATTAGATATACAATGTACTCTTACTTACCCTTGTTGTACTTAGTTTTGTCGTACTTCGTACTTTACTGTTTGCGTGTTGCAGAGGCAGCTATTGTTTACACTTACAGTATTAAGTTGTGGTAGTGGTGTTCTAAAGCCTAGAATCGTGTCATGTTATCTTCATAAAAGTGATACATGCAAAGCGAAACATTCAAATTAAATTCACGCTGCATTTTTTCAATTGAAGAAGCCTCGTGAAAATACTTTGTATGTTGTAGCTAGGTTTACTCAACAGAAATGGTTGCCTTTTATTGTTTGCAACAAATTTTTCAAAAAAATGAATAGCCTATCTCATCCAATAACCTATAATATATATGTCTGTGTCTACGCGATCGGTTGTTTATACATTCAGCAACTATGTGGTTGTACAAACATCCATCACGGCTCATGCAGTATTTATGGTTATAGTGCAACTAAATTCGATTTTTATCATTTAAAGCCTTCATTCTTATTTGCTGTAATAATTTCCAAGGATAATAATCTAATAAAGTCACAAAACACAAACAGTGTATTGATTTGTCACAGTAAAGTTTGTGTGGGACAGTTTGTTTAAATTAATTATGAAAATCATAATGATTTGAATCAATTGCTTTGATGATTGAAGGATTGATTCTGGGTCACGTCACAGCGTCACCTAGTGAGTGTACCTACATAGTAAATTTTAAACACCTTACTACAGCAAATAAAAAAGTGACGGAGTGAAGTTCAATATATAGAAAGATCATCGCAAACAATCCATATTACGGTCACTGTCGTTCATTGCCGAAAGTTTTGTGAATGTTTTGCAGTTTTATCCACAACATTTTTTTCTATTAGCAGGTATGGGAGACGGCGTTGTTGTATCACGTAATTCGATATTTTCATAAACACCGTTGTCATTTTTTTCATTGTATTCGGCAATTTTGTCTTTATTCTGAAAATGGAGAAAACAAATTAATGTGAATTATAAGTTTTGAGAATATATATAGATTATAGAATTTATATAATGAAATAATTTTAGTCTGTGCTATTGATGTCACTAGAAAAATGTTACAAATAAAACTACTTTTATTCATTGATGGAATTCCTGAAGCAAAGTTTTAAAATTGTCAGATTTGAGTAAAAAATACATTAGTTTCTTATATTTCTTAATTCTTCTAAATAATGAGGTTATTCAAACAATATCACGCTTGCTATTACTATTTTTTTGCTTCAAATTTCGAAAAGGCTAATCCAACCTCTTCAATAACATTTTCAATAAGACATTGAAATGCTCCATTGATGTTAATTGCATCCTTTGCACTCGTTTCCATGAATTCCATGTCGTATTGCTTTGCTATCTGAATATAAAATGAGACAGTTATTTTGACAACAATCTATCCTCAACGGAAAAAAACAAGTGGCGTGGAATTGTTGTAGTCTTCAGGAAAAAATTAAATATGATATAATAAAAAAGAGTGGGTGCTCCCGAAGTATGCGAACCAAGATGGCGGACATCGGAACGTAACATGGGTAACAGGTTAGGGTTAGGCGATAATTTTTTTCCAATTTTCCTTATTTTAGTCCTATTATCAGTTCGAAGACTAGCCAAGAGCCTCCCGTAGTATTGCCTAACCCTAACCTAGTACACATATTACATTCCGATGTCCGCCATCTTGGTTCGCATACTTCGGAAGCCCCAAAAGAGTGTTTTGACAAATATTCCTTTGAGATATTGTTCACTCAAAATATATAGAAAAATTGTTTCGGTTATTTAACATCAGAATTCATTATTTTGTATACTCAACACAGTCAGAATTCAATTCATAAACTTCAGGTACTACATAGTTTGTTTTCTTTTTCGAACTACTTTGTTGAATATTTTTGTGCCAAAAATTTATGCTAAAATAACGATCTTCTGTAATATATTTTCAGTGTTGTTATAATATAAAATATATTTAAATATTATTTAATTTTACGTTTTCTCCATGCTCTTTAGAAACCTCGCGGAAATCTTCCCTGTCGCATTTGTTCCCTAATATAATGCATATTGTATTTTCATCTGCCCACTGTCAAAATGGTAAGAATGTTTGTTTCAAAACGTAAATAATCTTTTTTAAAGTAATTATTTGCCAACATGTTTTTTAATATTTAAACTTTAATCTATTTTAACGGATTTTGTATGAATAAACAACATGGAAAAGGTATTCACAGTATGATCTAAAAAGAAATCTGATTAAACTTCTTTATTTATTTGATCAATATTTGTACTAATATAATTGTTTATATAATATTAAGTATTAGTATAATAACTTTATACTAATATAAAGTTTGTTTACCCATCGCACGAAACTTAATATTAAACTTGGAAATGCATAGAAACCATTTTAAGAAGTTTTACTTCAGTGCTGGAAAAGCTCAAAATGAGCAAAAAGTACATTTGGATGTACAGGTATTCGCAGTCTTGTCCCAAGGAAACATCCCACGGGATGCATGGGACAGCATACATTTGTATTTCCCATGTGACAAGTAATACGATTTCCGGGGAATTGATGTTATAACATTTCGTTATGGATTTTGTGTCCATATATCTGAGCATAGCTGTCTTGTTAGTTATAAAGAGCAGAATATACTCAGCTTTAACAATATACTTTGTGAAGGGGTTGATGGACACATGTATAATAGTTATGAATTTAGAGTTAGGTCACTGAATTTTGTTGTTGTGGAGTCTCTTCGACGTAGTGCTATTTAGTCGACGCTAAACTTAAATTTAACAATTTTTATTATATTGTATTCCAATGGGAATCCCGTGGGATGGGATGGGACAGGCATAAATTGCTATGGGATGGGACAGAAAAATCAGTTTCATGGACAAGCTCGGGTATTCGAAAGTATTGAATCTGTAGTCGATAATTACAGCGCGTTTGAAAAAATCAGCAAGCGCTTGAACTAAACGGTTAACCCGAGAGCGAAAATCACTAATCTGCCTACCTACTCAGGACGTTCACAATAGAAATCAAAATAGATATCAGATTAAAAAAAGAACATCTAATGAATCATTTATATAACTTCATCAACAGGAATGCAAGGTTCTTTTCTAAAGTACACCAACCTTTTTCACATTTCTCACCCACATTTCCAAGCGATCAAACGATTTTCGAACAGTGATATCGTACACAATTAAAATTCCCTTTGCACCTCGATAGTAACCTTTTGTTAGCGACCGAAACCGTTCCTGACCCGCCGTGTCCCTGATTAAAATATCGTTCTTATAATAATATTTAAAATAAACCTCTTTCTAAAATAACTTGAAATAACTGACTACTTTCAATACGACCAGAAAAAATTATCCTAAAAAATGATTGTACTGAAAAGAATGGACAATCAAAAGATTGACACACTACAAACAAATCAACAGAATTCGCGCATTTTATCTTTTGATCCCCAGTATTATGAAAGGAAAAGCACAATAATAAACGTGACTAAAGTTAAATAAATCCAGATCTTACCAAATTTTTACTTTAATAACGCGATTTGCTATCCTGACTTTCTTCTCCTGGAAATCAACACCTGGAAAAAACAAGAAGGAATATGGAGTTAACCATAATTGTGGCGCAGAAAAAAGGTCTAATCACCATTCTCTGACGTTCAACATACTGATGCTTTTCAAACGTTGAGTGAGCACCAAAGGCGTATTCTAATATTTATGTGCGGAGATGCGACTTCAAGAATTTTGCTTATCAATACTTTTCTAAACAAGAAATGCTCAAATGATTACGTCAAAGATCTTCATTTTGTATAAAAATATCTTATTATAAACGACAGTTGATGTTCATGTGACGCAAAATTCACTTAATTGAGACATTCAATTGGCCTATGCGACTCCAAACTTAACAAGTGCAACATTTCATCGGAAATTAATATTCTTATGCTTGCTGTAGAAATTAAAAGAGGTAAAATACGTCGTATTTTGTCGAGAATGAAGATGAAATGAAATATTATATTTGACGACACTTTGAAGCGAAATTGCTTACGTGACCAAATTCGTGTTTCGAATATGCATTTTTTGCATTGTCCTGCCTATATTCTATAAACTTTGACAAATTATGCTGACTGTTATGACTTGCAGCAAGCTTATCGGTACTGGTAAGGCCGAGCCCAGAGTTCACAAAACGTAACAAATAACAGCCGGTAACGCTTGACAAAATTAATTAGAATAAAGTAGTAAATTTCCGAGGGATACATAGGAGCTCAGAAGACTCGAAGGAGGTGTGAAAATAAAAATAATAGAGATAGCCTTCTGGCTACTACTTCCATCTTTGGGTAATGAAAATCTAAAATAGGAGAAAAAACTATTTTTTCACCGAAACGTCGCCTCAACAACAACATTATTTATCAACATTATCTATTTCAGAATTTAGAACTCACCTATAGTTGCAATATGGCTTGCGGAAAATGTATTTTGTACATATCTTTGAATTATACTTGTCTTTCCTGTACCACTGTCACCGATAATTGCCAATTTGCATATCCATTTTGTTAAAGGATTCGGATTGTTAAACTCGGATTCTTCCATTCAGTTAATTACGTTTATTCTTAAAAATATTTTGTTAACAGAAAATAATTTTGAGATTGCATTCATTGCATGGGTGGCTTAGAGCAGTAAATATTAGTTGAACACCTCGTTACACTGACTGAAAATCAATACCCGAAACGACCCATGATGAACTTCGGACATTCCGCGCCAATGTGTTTTGTCATGGTCACTGTCGTTAAATAATACGCTGTCGTCTGGTGCAAATTTGCGTGATGGTAACGGTTTGCTGAATTGTGGGCCGCTTCATGTATCAGAGGAGATCCTAAACGCCTACCGGCTTTAGAATGTGTTAGATCTAGAATGTCATTTTCTCTATGCGCTCATTTAGTATTGGTATTTTGGCTTTTAGTTTAAGAAGGGAATAGGGCATTAACATAATATGCAATTTGCCATGTCATGTTTCTGTTCGATTCATCTTAACAATCTCCAATTAATGGCTTTTCATCTCTTTTTATTTGCTATTTGTCTCGTTTTTAATCTGCCGGCTGTAACATAGAACTGCAACGTGATTTGGTAAACATTCGTGGGGCTAGCATGATTCACATTTTGACTCAATGTTTGACTGAACATGTTGCCATCCCGAACTGTTGTCGGATTACTGTTAGGCATTTAGATATAGGGAAGACTTTTGTAATTTTGTAGTAGTAGTATGATACCTGTCGAAAGTTGCTAAACATATATTCTGCCTTCCCTCTACTTCTTCGTCTGATTTCACTTCCTGTTCTGACAAACACTGCTAACCGATTTTGTTTTGTGCTCTGCGCGGTACTAAAAATTTCGTGGTTGTTTGAAACTTCATATTGGATTTCACGTGTCACGCTTCTTTCTTCTTGTTCTATAGCACACGTCGTGACGAAGTTTGGACACGGTGATACTGAACCATGAAATATTGAGAAGTGAAATGGGTGATCGACTCTCATACACACACGCGTAGCGATACAAAGCTCGATTCTAGAGACAACCATAACTTGCGAACGTTTGATCAAAATTAAAAAATTATTCAGGGTTATGTCTAGCGCAACAGGTTATCGTACCATTCTGGCCCAGGACTAGATATACAATTTATGAGGTGGGTATTCAAATATTTGTATTGGTTGACATTTTAAATCAACCTATCTATTTATATAAATTGTCATGACTTTATGAGGAATTTTGATATCGTTATAAAGCAAATAACAACAAAATTCAGAGATTTCTATTGTTTCTCAAAATGCTCACAATGTCTAATATTATTAATATAATTTACGAATTCGTGTTTAAGAATATTAAAAAAAACGGCGCTAATGAAATGACTTTATTTTGATACAATGTAAACTAATTATAAATTTAAATTACTCGACTGTCTCAGACATCATGTGACATTCGTGGAACTTCTAGCCCAAGAAAAAAAGTCGAGGTATCATCAAGTTCATAGATATTGAAGCACGTCGTCGCTCTATCTCTTGCCAGAAACTCACTACACTGGAAACTCGAACAGTTAAACAACAGCAGTCACACTATGTTTAATTAGCAAAAATGAATGGGAAATTACATATCTATAAAATATAACTACTTCATCGACTATTTTATGGCTGATACAAAAACATGAAAGCAATAACGATACCAACATTTTTAGCGCCAGTAAATGCAAATGAAATATACAGAGACAACAAGTTAAAACGTATAATCAATTTATGACAATGATACAGTTACATTGAAGAAAACTGTATGAAAAATGTTTCCAAATAGCAGAATTCTATCTTCTCGTTTTGTTTATTAATTTCAGTAATATAAAGTTACCCTCTTCTTTCACAAATATACTTTTTTGTTCTGGAACATGGGTCATCGTTCAGTTTCCATCCGTAGGACGGCCTGTAGTGTACGCAATCTTCTGCCCCGCCGCCATTATCAGGCTGATTACTAGCCCAGTTAATGCTTCCTGAAGATATGCCATCAGCCCAAATGAAGCTGTTTTCCCTAACGATATCATCTAAACCAATCCAGATGTCTTCTCCCGACGTCTTTATCAGTTGCATCAGTTCACTGTATTTGATGAGTAAGAATTAGTAAATCATTTTTAATGCTCGTATTAAAATCATATTTTATTATAACTTGGATGCTAGCCCAAGAAACAATACTTGAAACAAAAAAGCAGTTTTGAGAAAATTAGAAAAACGTATACTTTTGATTTTTACACTCTATTGCTTTTAACTACAATTGTGGAAACGTATGATCCAAAATCAATTGAAATTGATAAAATTGAAGAACTTCCGAAGACTGAACCAATGACTTTGATATCCTATTTAAATCGTTAGGCCGCGACTCATGATTAGCGTGAAATATCGAACAGTTTAAACATTTGTTGTTGAAACTCCTGTTCACTTCTTTGATTAAAATTCACCTTTGAATCGCGGAATCCCTTATTCCAGTAGAAGCAAGGTTTCCGTTTCGGCGTTGACAATTTGCTCGAGCTGTTCGATAGTTAACTTTATCGTGGTACACTTTGTAATAATAGCCGTTCAGAAATTTGTGCCAAGTCATTAATTCTTCCATGTTGTTGATTTTTGATTGCATCTGCTGTAATTCTATGAAAATCAAAGATAACTCGAATCAAAGATAAGCTAAACCCTATTAAAGTGGTTCATTAAAATAATGCTTCGCGGCTGAATATATGCCACTGGATTCTGCCTATATGTTGTTAAGAATTGCGCATTTATTCCGTGAAGTTCTGAGTACATTTGATTTGGTTGCACAATAAATACAAACATCAAGCACTAATTCTATCATTTTTCATCATCACATTTACTATCTCTAATTAAATTTGGGACCTCCAGAAGAATGTGCACCAAGATGGCGCACAACCTGAACATAGTATGTGTACCAGGTTAGGGTTCAGGTTGTGCGTCATCTTGGTGCACATACTTTGGGAGCGCCCAAATTTGATGTTATGAATTTGAACACTTTTTATGACGCGTTTCCAAGAATGCTCTAAGCCTGAATTGTGACTGATCAAAGCGCTACAAATTTGATGCAACAATCCAACAACGCGATAAAGCCTGATTTCACACATCTAAAGTCGAAAGACTCTTTTTTTGCCAGTGATCGGGTCGGTTCTTTACTTAACCATATTACATATCATACAAACCTGCTTTTATTCGTTGTATTTCGGCTATATTCTCATCCGTTTTTTGTTCCAGAAAGTCGATATTAGCAAGCTTCCTTTCCACATTGCTTTCCAAATCTGGTGTAAATCAACAAAACAAAATATTAGAGATATTTTGATGATATATATTAGAATTCTAAACATGGTTCGTTTTCACATAAAACATTTCTATGGAATCCTCGATTTATATTCCAAACCACTATACCTTCAAATTTCCCCATAATCGTGGCATTTATGATTCCATAATCCACATTTCCAGGTGGCCCTCTTGGACCAGATTTCCCTACTCTATCAAATGCTGCAGATCCATTTGAGTCTTTGTTTTCATAGTGCTGTCCGACGTAGTGACAGACCTAAAAACGAAATGACACAACATAAAATTTTAATTAGAATTGTCTAGCTTGTTGTCTAGATGTTAGATGATAAATTGTTTTGTTGAATTCTTGTTATTGATGGTGTGATTACTGCTGGTCGAAAAAATCTTTCTATTTTCGAACCTATTGGATCGATTGATTTCAAATGTCAGTACTCAAAGACAGAAGAAATCGCGAGAGCGGTGTTACTTTCTTCAAATTTTCTCTCAGACCCCCTATATTTACACATGATTCTATTATTTTAATTTAAAGGAGACTCTGTTACACTTGTCCGCTGATCTTTTCTGCAAACGCGCTCTTATCATACCAGTACTGATGCTCTACTTTTGTATCCGGATGTATGAGTTGTGTTCGATAAAATTACTGCGGTGTTATATCAAATTTGTCACTGATGATTTCATCACTGAAATATTAGTATAATGCGCATTTGTGCTTAACGCTTGACATGATCATGACGGATTTATTCTGATTTCTAGCTTGTCATTCAGAAATTGTAATATAATTCCAAAATATGAGCGAAAAGATTTATTCCATCTTTTTCTCTCGCCAGTTCGTGACCAAATAATTGAGCAATGCTCCCTTTCACTTTTTCAAATTCGGTTCTAACCGGTATTTACTTATATATCTCTGGATCTATAATATATATTGTTTTATATTATAATTGTTTTATCATATATACTTGAAATGGAAAAGATTTACTTACTTGGTTACAAAACTCCATTTGTTGACCGGCTTGTATCATATACAGCGTATCGGTACAAACAAGGAACAGGAACAAATATACTGTACAATATCCCATTTTGTGAGTGGACTGCGCAAAAAATACAGAACTAGGTAATATATATACAGTTTTCGTGAAAAAGTTTGTTGTTGATTAAATATGAGTGGTGAAATTTTTCTCACCCTTATGGGAAAAGGATTGTTCCAAATTTACATCAATCGATTTATTTGCGCCAGACGGGTCGTAGAGCATTCAACTGAGTTTGCGTAAATGGCCTGGGAAAATGGCTTATCAGATAGGAAAACAGCTGTATGGAATAAATTAGTCTTGTGCATATTCACTGGTGGTTGATAAATTTATCTCGATTGCCCAATTGCATTCAATTCAGGCAAGGATTAAAGAAAACAAATCTTCGCGAGTTTTTGGCAAATTTTTCGAAATATCATTAGCACAAGACTAAACTAATTGTTGCCCCTTCGAAAAAAAATTGAAAAACTTTCAATTACTCATGTAAAACATTTAAATTCAAGTTCGAACCGATCGCAGGCTAGTACCAGTTTGCTAAAACGTTCGACAATTGCTGGAATATATGAGATTATATATACATATCGGTTGAAGTGCATTTCATGTTTCTTCGATTTGCGACATTTTCACCAAAACAACATTTAATCTATTGGTATTGGATTGCGCGAAACCGATTATGTTATATGCTTCCGATTGATGATTTATTTATATGGTTTGGTATTGGAAAAATTTGCGTATGTTTGTTTTCTGGAGTCTGGGCACCTGTCGAGGGATATATGTTTATATAAAACCCCTGAAAAGTCTGAAAAATTGACAACCAGGAAGACACTTTACCATTTACCATTCATGTTTGTTCAATTTTCACATTTTGGCAGTATCGTTTCAGTGTTTAAAGTCTGAAGAGCAGACGGAGTGCATTGTGCAATACGGCATACACATTTTTTGGACCTCTAGATTAGAAGAATGTGCACCAAGATGGCGCACAACCTGAACACAGTATGTGTACCAGGTTGGGGTTCAGGTTGTGCGCCATCTTGGTGCACATACTTCAGGAGCGCCCATTTTTTTCATACAATTTAGCTCAAAGCATTGTATTGTCACAAAACTAGAGGATTTGGTGAAAAATAGAACACTCGTAAATGAGTTGGTAGCAACAGGCTAAATACACAGCTGTACATGGCTGAAATATTTAATATTGTCTTGTAGCCAGGCCTTACATGCATGTGTGTATGTGTTATCGATTTATAATAACTTCCTCGTACGCTTTTTGCGCCATTTCCTGTTAGTCGCGTATATTTGACTGTGATTGATTAAATCATATTTGTATCTTCTTAATGTTGCTGTGCATTAAACAATATTCTGCCATTCTACTGATGTATTGCAATGGATTACGTTAGGTATGCACGAAGATGGATTCTACTCGGAATACTTTGCGCAATTGCTTTTGTGAAGAATTATGCCAGTACAGGATTTGTGGTTTTACACAAAGTAGTTGAAGATTTCTATGGCGCCACGCCGTATGAGATTGACTTGCTTGTCATCATTGGGAATTTTATTGCATTCCCCGTGACGTTATTGGTGGGATACTTCAGCCAATCATTATCTTTGAGGTCGCTGGTGATTACCATGATATCATGTCTTTTGTGTGGGAGTGTGATCTGTCTTATTGGATTTCAATCAAGGTAATATGGCTTTTTGAAAAATGAATTGATAATTTCGGTTGCGAAAAAATTAGAGAAATAAATATTGCAGTTTATAACTTTAGCAATTCCATTGCTTTCTGCTAAAAAAATATCGCTAAGTATCTCTTTTACTGTCGAACAACACCTGATATATACATTGAAAATTCTATATTATATTAAAATCTTAAACTTCTTGTAATACACTCGAGTGTCGAGTGGAGCCTTTATTTCTATTCCAAATATTATATAAAGTTGTATTAAGGTATTGCAACATATGAGTAGGGGGTAAATTCACTTGGCTAACACAGACAGTCTTCGAACTAATAGAATTAAAATAAGGAAAATCGTAATAAAATTATGGACTAACCCTAACCTGGTACACACTACCCTTTTTGAACTCATTCAACCCCTTGTTTTCAGAGACCTATTTTACGTTACGGAAATTGGTCGGATTTTTATGACGTCGACAGCTGGCATTTTATATATAGCTCAAGTTCTTTTGGCAGCAAGCTGGTTTCCACCGAATCAAACTGCAACGGCTTTTGTATTACCAATAACAATGTTCAGCATTGCATCAATTACATCAGCATTGTTATTTCCTAATGTAATTCCAAACAATAATCCTGCAAACTCAACACACAATTCATCATTCGACATTTCAACGTTTCACCAAACACGTGTTTTGTTCAGCGCTACATTCGGGGCGATATTTTTGATAATGATTGTCTGCTTGCTGTTATCAATTCTGTTTTTCAAAAATCGTCCACCAACACCTCCTAGCCGTTCACAAGAGAAAAAGATGATGGAACCGAAACAGTCATCAGGAAGTCGACTTATTGAAATGTGTAGAATTGCATTGATGAAACCAGTCATGCTAATTACATTAGGAACAATGTTCAGCGAAGGCGCTGTATGCTTTGGTGTCACACTGATGCCTTCGTGCTTGCTGGAAACGTTCCCCAAATTAGACAATATAACAGCTGGTAACATTGCTTTTTTGCGAACACTGGCAACTGTTGCAGCAACATTCGTTACAGGACGTATCGTTGACAAGTTTACGAATTTCAAATGTACTGCATTGACAGGTATGATCGTTAATACTGTTTTGTAATAGCATATGAACATAATATTTGGACACAAATTTAATGCCACGCCATTTGAAAGAAATGTTTTGATTGGACAGAAGAAGATTTTGTCCTCCACTTCCACTCTGCACCGATCTTTTCTTTCGTTTTTTCTTCCAACTAGCAATTTCAGATGGAAGTATCTCCTAGAAACCTATTACGTTTACTCGTCTCAAATTTTCTACTTTCGCTTGCTTGACAACTTGCGCTACCATGTTGGTCGGTTATATCTGTCCATATGTCTGGGCAATGGTAACTTGCTACAATTCGTTGAAAATCATGTATCTTTCACGTTCAATTTTCTATATTCTTTTATATTTATATTTTTGTTCATGCCAGGTACCTTGATCTCAATATTTTCGACTGTTGGACTGTGTTTTGCGCATGCACTCGAGCTGCTGAACATGATGTACTTTTTGTACGTCTTGCTTATGATGGGACGAGGAATTTTCATTCCTGCAGTATATGAACTTCTAATAGAAACTACGTATCCTACTAACAAGATTTTAATGATGTCAATCAACTCATCGCTTGGAAACTTGAGCATGTTCATGTTAACAACCATTTTAAGGACCGTGATGGAATATTACAGCGTCACTGTCGCCGGCGTAGCAACAATATTTTTTCTTTGTATTTCACTGGTGTCTGTAGCTCTGGTTGAGCCGAACTACAGACGAAAACGCGCAAATGCATACACTATATTATAAACTGATAGCATTATTTGTTCCTTGGTATGTGGATGGCATATGGGTGACAAGTAAAGAAGAGACCTATTCTAATGGAAGGGCTAGTTCTTATTTGAAGATGTCGTCGGAAGCTACACTTTTTCTTAATGTTGGGCTCTGACTTGTGTAAATATATATTGAAAGGCAGAAGCTCAAACAAAATTTTGTACGTCTGTATCAGAGACATTGCTAATTGCTATATATATGATCGTTTCTTTTGTAGTAGCCTGGCTTTTCGGGTCTCGGATCTATTACAATTCATCCGTTGACGCATGGAGCTTACTTTAGTAAAATTTTTCATCTAATAAAACATTCAACCAGTCCAACAGTGTCACTGAGGTGCTCCAAATAATGATTATATTTCTATTAAAATATTCTTTACACAGGGGTGTGCAACCTGTGGGCCAAATGCGGCCCACAAAGAAAAATTGTCATGAGATCAATAATCAAGTTGCTGTTACTGTTGTTGTTGCTACTACTAGAAAGCCTATGTTGAATGAAGCTTCGGCCCGCGGTTCCACCCAGTTATTTGTATCTGGCCCTCCTGTATTAAAGGTGGCACACCCCTGCTTCACGCTATTTAATTGCAAATTCCATCACATATTCGTGCCCCTAAATATATAAAATTGCTTCAGTGTAAAGATATAAACGTTATTTTTGTGCTGAGAGAAGAAAGGATGATTAGCATGATGGATCACACAATAAGCCCATTCATCGCTGTAATCTAGGATGTTGTCATTCTATACGAAACCCTCTTGCATGCTCTTGCCAGCTTGGTAAACACCGTTATTACAGGCGCACAACGTTTGCAACTATGCTGGCAATAAGTTAAAAAATCAACAAAAATTATGTCGCACCAATTTGCAACCGAATATTCGCGTGACAGTTACAATTACGCAAACAAATGGCACGTGCTTATTGATACACGTATGTAAAAGCGTACCGTTATACGTAAACCAGTGGTGCCATTGTTCCCTATCGTTGTTGAGTATTAACTAACAAAGTCAACATTTGTATTGATGAATTTAAAATGCTGCTATCGAATTCCTTCTTTATAGGATAGGCTACATACAATACCAGAATTTTGAAAAGAAGCCTCGTTTAACAGTATTTCAACGCGGTTCAGATGTTTTTTATTAGCTTGTTGGATCGTTTTTTCGGTCTGTATGAAAGGGAGCAATTAGATATTTGGCGTTGTAAGCTTTTGGGCTGTGTTTCATTGCTAAATAATCGTATTAGAAAGGTATAAATGTGACTAGTACACATCCAAACTGTACCGAATAACCCAAACTGAAAATCAACAAAATTTTGGGAGCTTGGGGCTTTCCGACTTGAGATAAGTCCAACGCCCTCAGTTGACAAGTCGCTATCGACGTGAACAGATGGTAACTCGGTTGTTAGGTATTTAAATAGGCATGGCAAACATCAGTATGTACCTGCAATCATATCACGCGTTTAATACAAGCCTTAAAAGTTTTACACTAGAGGTTTAGCATAATTTTAATGCAGTGATGGGTCGCTCGCTGTAATTTGACTAGAGATAAGTTGGAAATGACGGAAACTACAATGAGAAGACCTGATTGGCAGTGCAAGATTGTATTGATTGGGGATGCAGGAGTCGGGAAGACGTGTATTTTACGGAGATATACGGAAAACGCCTTTTCTCCCAGCTTTGTAGCCACTATCGGTAGGTATTCAGATTTCAAAGCCAAAATTCAGGCATAAATAATGTAGTATTTTTTCGCATTCATTTATTTGAATATATTGTAGTTTTAATTATAAAGGATATATAGACGACTAACCTATATATTCCCAACCTGGATTTCTGCTGCTGATATAAAACAAAAAGCGTACGATTCGGTTGAGTTATAGACAAAATTCACAACACCATAGTAAAAACGCTATGTTCACATGGTTCATTAAATATACCGTCTTATAAACAATATATCTTATGCTAAACAGCATGACAACTCAATCCAATAAACAAGTGCCTTATTTGTAGAAACTAATAATTTGACATTTCATTTTTTAGGAATTGATTTCAAAATGAAAATGGCAGAGATAGGCGAACACTTGATCAAACTCCAAATATGGTAAGTGTATACAAAAGAAAAAATGTCGAAATTTGACCCATAAATTGAATAGAAATTAAATTGTTACTGTCATGCAATTAATGTTTTGGCTCCATAAGCAATCTTTTTTATAAAAATTTGTCGAAATTCCAAAAATTTCAATTACAGGTAGGATATGTGTGCTAATCACGCTAGTATATAACAAGCTGAAATCAAAAAACAATATTAAGAAGCTCAAGGATGTTAACGATGTGTTTATTTATATATGGTTCTAATTTGAATGGTTAATAATAGTTAATAACTTATAACTATACGTCTTATCGTAAACCTCTGTGGTGAACACAAGCAATAAAACGCTTTAGCATCGTCAGAAATTGTCCGAAGTATAAATAGCATCGACTTAAAAATTTTAAGTCAGTTCTCTGAAAAGCTGGTAAGAATTGTTTATAACCCAGATAAGAATGACAGCCGACAAATCACTTATAATGACTTAGCATGTTTTTTTAGTAATCCATTTCATATTTCGCACCGTAATGTTTTCAAAAACGTGACTACCCTCTACCATACATGGTGGGGTGGTAAAATTGTAAATAAGAGTTGAACGTAAAAGCCTTCGTCATTGTCGCTGTCATGGCGTTGGGTTGTTTACGATTTAATGCCACAATTATGGTCGACAATTATTACATTCGCTGTTTTTCGAAGCTTTTATGCAGTAATAATTAGGGCGTGACGTCATGAAATCTCTCAAGTGAAGATGTTGAATTGGTAAATTCTGTAAATACAATTGTGAATTTTACGGTAACTATTTTAGCTATGATAATGGTTTTTGGTTGCCGTTTTAGGGCCTAATTATTGACGATAATAAAAAATTCGGAAGAAATCATCTAAAATGGCCTCAGGAAACTTGGAGAGATAGGGTTTTAATTAACCCTACACCTTATGGACCAATAGCAAAAAGTGAACTTGAAAAAAAACGTAAAACTGAATAGTAGTCATTAAAAAAATTATAAAAATGTGTGAAGTGTAAATCCTTTTTTAATACACGTTATGTCTTTATGAAATGATCAAATTTTAAGGGACACGGCTGGACAAGAAAAATTCCGATCAATAACAACTGCCTATTATCGAGGGGCGAAGGGAATTTGTATCGTTTATGACATCACAGATACAAAATCATTTGAGCGCGTAAATATGTGGGTGAAAAATATACGAAGGGTTGGTACAAATCTTTAGTTATTCTAATCTAATTTTTTATGCATACTTTTCTTCATTATTGCAGTCAGCATAAAAGTTAGCCTTCTATGCTCATAGTATATTTAATTCTTTTGATATTTAATTTTTCAATTCTTTCTGTTTTAGTGGGCTGGAGATGAGACAGAATGCATGATTTTGGGAAATAAATGTGACCAAGAAGATCTTCGGCAAGTTACCAAGAGAGATGGAGAAAATGTAAGTGGTTTTGAATTCTTCTCAAATTCCATTCGTTACTGAATGCCTATGAAGTCTGAAACGTTCAGGTACAAACGTTAAATTCATCCATTTTTTTGTGATTTTCACCGGTAAACACGAAAGGGCATGAAGTGCACAAGCTACTTTACATATGATTTATTCAATTAAATAATTACGCTATATCCAAATTAAATTTATATTCAAGTGAAATATATTTTTTAGATTGCTCGAGAATACAATATGTCATTCATGGAAACAAGTGCAAAAAACGACATTAATGTAGACGAAGCATTTCATCATATTCTTGAAAAAATTGTTGAAAAGGTGAGAATATCAACTAAAAAATCAGTATATATTTATTGTTTTTGGAACAGTACGATACACCTAAGTTTACTTACAAATTAAAAAATTAATGTAAAATTGGACCGTATAAATAGGTTCAATATCGTGCGATAACGACTATTGCTAATCTTATTCCTTGACCAATAACGTCACTAACACTATTTGGATGTGTATATGTAAATACGGCATGGTGTAATACATATGTAGCCAATATTATAAACCATTATAACAGTGAATACGAAATAACATTGTAGTCTATTGTTCTGAAAATAATTTAAATCTTTTGAAATCAATGCCAGCTCACTTATTTTTCCAAGACAGTATAAACATTTCTTCAAACTTCATGCCAATAGACCTTAGTCATTTAAAACCCATCCTACGCGCAAAAATGAAAGTGATGTGAATAAAAAATTTTCAACATTAGCTCTTATGGGAAATGTGATCACCAGAGCAGAAATTTGCATTTTTTGAGATTTCCTAGATATGTTTCATCGTATACGTGTATAGTTTTGAGGATAGAATATTTTTTACATTATTTTTGATATTTTTATCATGATAAACATGGTCAAGATATTTGATAATCGTTCATTAAAATTTTAATGATCGCGGTGTTTTCGATGACGTCATTCTCACTAGACCATGAGATTCTGCCAACTCGCCGTGCTCTGTGGGATATGCGCTGCAAATGTTGCAAATGCTGCAATGTCGCTTTGGGTACGGTACCGGTACTGGAAGCGTTTAACATTGACAATCTATAACCCATACAATTTCTATCACGTTTGTTTACTGGTTTTACGCATTTATACCTGTACCGCTAACAATCATTTACTGAAGGCACGCTGACGTGTTATTTAAACTACCGGTACCGTACCAAGGTTGCAAGAGGTGAAAACTAAATTATTTAGTAAATACTGAAATAGGCCTACGAACAAAAATGTTGGCCAGCCTGCCAATGGACCTTTCCCCGAGCATCGACTTCCTTGTTTACTTCGTGACATTGACCAATCAGCAAGATGCAAAAAGTGACGTAACAATGCTCCCTTTTCGCATCCGCTCAGACACTTTTCTCACTCAGACAGATTTTCAAGCGTGGTCGTAAACATTACCTCGTTTTTGAACTCTATTCGTTAGTTTTCAGTTGTGTCTCGGAAACTTAAATATAAATCAGTTAATTCAATGATCACTCTGTCTTCCTAGGAGTTTTAATTTTATTGCAGTAATAAAAAATTAGTGTAGAAATAGCTGTGGTAGACTAGGCTAAAATTCTTTACCGGTACTTTTAAAAAACAGATTATTGTATGCGATGAATATTAATGATGGTTTAAAACACACACCCCATTTTACAGGCGCCAACTCGCAAAAGAACTCTCAAAATAATAGCCCCAACAATTTTGCAATGGTAAAGTATAAGAAGAATTTTTCGGGGGTCAAAGGTCAGAGAAAGGTCCATAGGCAGGATAAGTTGTACGGTACCGGCCCGGCAACGACTAACATACCATGATGCGCAACTAAAGCCTTGACCAATCAGGAGTGTCTGACGCGTTACGCTCCATTACGGCAACTTGATTTGTTAACGCCCACTCGAGCTTTCAGCGTTTTGCTGCAGTTTCATCATATCTGTTTCATCATATCTGACTCACAGGGCAGAGGTGTATAGTTAATATATTAGGTATTCGGTGACTATGCCTAATAAAGGTAAGTTTATTATTTTCATACGTTAGATATATACTATAAGTTTGTTTCCTCTTGTGGATTACTATTGAGGAAGCTACGATACAGGTCTGCAGGTACCGGTACTGGTTTTATGACAGACAGAGTTTAAATCTCTCAATCAGATCCTGAATTTTCCGTTTTCCGAATAATACGTTTCCTTGGTAGTACTAGACTTATTTCCTGCATTCAGGCTAACAGTACTGGACTATGAGTTCAAAATTTATGGTTTGGTGTGTAGTAGGCAGTGACTGACAGACCCTGAGACCTGCAGACGGGAGAATTTACAGGCCTTTCATTTCATCTACAGTACCTACACCTATATACAGACATATGTATATCCACTTACTGCTTGCTTTTACATCTCATTTCTACATTCTGACATTATCAAGCACTGTCGACCCCAGTGTTAGGCAATAACTTGAAATTTCCCATATGCTGATATGCCTGTAGATTACTAATAGCTTAACACTTTTTTGAATTCTGGTAAAATGTAAAAGTTGTCGTCAAATCCAGAGTTTGCATTTCAATATTCGATTGTTCAGTTGTTTTAGATTGTGACTATGACATGTTAGAGGATCATAAACTGACAGTATGCATAGATCTTGACGAGGCTATATTTCATCACCAGAGATACAACTTGAATCAAATAAAGAGTTAATATCATGACCACGAACAGCACACAGATTATTGGTATTTCATCAACTATATACAAGCATTGAATCAATTAAAATTATATACGAAAACACACGTTAATTCGGTATAGAACTGGCGAGCGATACGACCATCACAGTCAGCTCGCCCCAGCCCCCCATGTTCGCTATCAAGATTAACAGTTAATTAAGATGTTTGAACAATTAACAAAAAACTCCTTGGAAGAAGGGTTGACTAAGTTACGGAATATTTTTGGATTCGGGTAAACATGTAGTCCATTATTTAAACCACTGCTTTTTTTGTAGATTTTCACTTAGTGGACACTTAGCAAGTACGACAGTTAATTTATAAAAAAAAATTTTAAATTAATAACAAATCAGTAGAAGTCAGCTCGGGTATTCAAACATGTGATGATTGAAGTGAGAAAAAAAAATTTGAAGTCACGTTTAGGCTATCACATTAAACAACAATGGAAAAGGTACATTGGAATCAGTCAAGCTTCAAATGCTAATGGCATTAATGAAAAGAATATGCGAAATGAAGACTGAAGTTTCCATCTGAGACATTGGAAGACGCTAAAACCTTATAGACTTGATAGTGTGAAAAGCCTTCTCACAATGCAGTAATAATGGGACATATATTTATAATATCATTATACAGGCTTTAAGTTGAACTATATGTTTAATTAAAATATATATCTTTGCTAATAAATGCTGAAAACCATTTATTTCAATCTGCTGAGTGATTATGGCCAGAAATTTGCTGTAGGGACCATCACATCACCAGTGCTGGATTCACCAACAGGCTAGGGAGGCTGAAACCTAGAGCCTCGAAATTCGGTTTCGAAGTTTGTAATTCTTTTGAAAACTTGACAAGTTTAAACCCTACGAAACGTATATATATATATCGAGCTTTTCAGAGTAGAAAATTCTGTACACAACTGTTTTCAACCACAGCATCATAATAAATTATTATTATTATGCGCATTTTGCTGGAAGTTTCTATGTTAAAGTATGGCTGTAGCGGTTGTTTGATCAAAGAAATTGAAAGCAAAACTGCCTCGAGTAAATTTTTATTTCTTTAATTAAAAACTCACACGGATGAATGGGAAGAATGAAAAATTTAATGCACTCATATTTTTAAATTTTAAGCAATGACATGTGGTGTTGTTTAGCGAGAAATTCTGAGCTCAAAAATATGAAGGGGCCTCTCATGGTCCAAATCCAGCCCTGAACATCACCACTTTTGGGATAGGTACCGGTACATGGTGTCAACAAGACTCAACATATGAACTGAGTTAGGCCATTGGACTTTGAAAGGTGGACCAGAAATGTACATTGTTGTATGGAATTCATGAAATATATAACATCCAATAAAAACCAAAATAGGTCTTTCGTTGAACGCCAGTTGTGGTCCCGGTACCGGTATTTCAGTATTCTGTTATCACAAGCAGTTTCCACAGAGCACGGCGCGTTGGCAGAATTTCATGGTCTAGTAAGAATGACGTCATCGGAAACACCGCGATCATTAAAATTTTAATGAACGATTATCAAATATCTTGACCATGTTTATCATGATAAAAATATCAAAAATAATGTAAAAATATTCTATCCTCAAAACTACACACGTATACGATGAAACATATCTAGAAAATCCCAAAAATGCAAATTTCTGTTCTGGTGATCACATTTCCCATAAGAGCTAATGTTAAAAAAATATTTTACATCACTTTTATTTTTGCGCGTAGGATGAGTTTTAAATGACTAAGGTCTATTATGAATAGGAAAACGAGAAATTTTTTCAGTCCGCCCTGATAAATTGCGAACTTCACTTTCCACATTCGAGTTACTAGTCGAAGTTTCTAACGGACTCTCACAACTCATTTTTAACAGAACAAAGACAATCTAAAGGCCACCCATCAGAAAACCAGAGTACGAAGAAATCAAATTGAACGAACCAAGCTTAGAACCACCTGCTACTGCGAAAAAATGTTGCTGATTGCAGCAAAGATTGACTTGCTTGTAAAAATATTCTCCTTTGATAGTTTAAACATGAATTGATTAATCTACCCGCAGCTCTGTTCTGTCAAAACAATAGACAGATGTTTCATCATTAGTACGAATTAGAAAATAATAATTCGACGATTACCCTTGTCTTGCCATAGTGTGACATCAAAGAAAATTTATTCAATTCAAAATGAGAATTGTAGTTCAAAAGCAAGCTATCAAACGAGTGGTACCTTTGTAAAATTTTCAATTTTAAAATTTACCTTTTATGTTCCACCGAATCGAATCATTTGTTATATATTTTGTAATAAACCTTGATCAAAGTGACACCATACGAATTTGATTGTGGTTAGACTGCAAAACGCTACTAATGAAATTTGGTTAATTGAATTATCCACAGGTCCATCGCGACATTTAAACATAGATAAGATAGTCAGTCTGCCGTACTTGTTTTGCAAAAAATATCCATTTTTCAGTAGTTTTAAGGAACCGAGAAATATGGTATATATGCAATCAAGAAAATAATTTCCAGCATATTATGGTTGTGAATAATTCTAAAGAAATAGTAAAATTATTACAATATGCTGAAATAGAAGTAAATAATAAACGAATCACAAATTATAGAAAGATCAATTTCGAGGCGAAAAAGAAGAATACTTTGCAAAGAACAAAAAGAATCTCGATCTCAGTAAACCATGCCAATGGGGGAATAATTCCGGCACGATTTTTTATCAACACTTCAACAAAGAGAGCAATACTCAAATATATGGACACGATGGCCAAAACAAAACTCATATCCTGAACGAAGCTAGAATTATGGAACAGCTACCGTAACTTACTAGTACCTGTACCAGGGTAACTGGACCCTGACTTTTCCAGGTTCTGTGCACGAATGAGGATTCATGCGTCCAGTCTCAATGTGAATCGAAATGTCAAATGATACGAGTCACAACTGTAGTATCAAATCGGTAGTCTCCTTTCAGCTTAAAGGTCCCGGACTTCGCTGCGGCACCAGATCCCTGAAATCGACCGTGAAACCGCAATCTTTAATTTTGATAACGCCAAAAAAATGATTTTGTGTCAAACAATATTAGCTTACATAAATTATGTTGCAACATTGAGGAATATTTATCTATATTGTCTCAAATATTTCACGTTTGAAACATGAAAAAATAAAAAGGCGGCCAAATAAAAGAATATGTTTAAATTGGAAAAAATTTAGTACCTCTAAGTATATCATATATATATTTTTCTATTTTTGGATCTTTTTTTATCACAGGCCTGTTTATTTCAAAAAAAAAATGAATGCTTTATTTATTTATCATCGTTTTTTATCATGAAATGGTTCATCTTGGATCAACTTGTCAATTACATTGATTAAAAAACTTTTAATGGCAAAGGAGTATAATCGAATTTGCCATAAAATAATATGTATATAGATAAAATTTGAGATGCTAGTCGAAATAATAGTCTAATAATGTTCCTTTGGCAAAAATTGGCGAAATTCATGTTATATATATAAGCAGTACCTTTAACCAGCAGTTTTTACAAGAGGTATAAATTGTTTCTTTCAATTGATTGAAGCCTTGGAATTAGGTAGAAACGAATGGGTCGTATAATAATTGGGTACGTAACTTGCCACATATAGAATTTGAATATCAATTAATGCATTTCATTGCAAAAATAACCAGTCCATTTTTCATAACACTGGCAAACTATATAATGTGGATAATGTCCAGGTTTTTGAAGTGACAAATTAAATGTTTCAGAAAAATCCTCGTTTAATGTAGACATCGTCTTTGCTACCTCCTGAACCTCGAGATGGGTTCGTTCATTAAGGTTATCTTTGTATCCAGGAAAATGTGACAATACACATCTTTCGTGGTTATTACATCGCTCGTGACTGCATTTAGAAGCAGCATCCGAGATAAATTGTACAAAAGGTCCCAAAATAGATGAAATATAATTGCCTAAATTCTGACATTCCTCAGCAGTATTGGCGATATCATATCCTCCCCAGATGACGACGCCAGAAGCTCCCAATAACGAAGCAACTCCAATGGTGTCTCTAAGATCAAAAAGGTTCAAAAATTTCTTTGTATCTGGGTACGCCACCGAATGATACAGAAATATTGGAATGCTTGTATCTTCTGGTCTGTTACTGTCTACGCGAACTGCTTCAAGTACACGGTAGGCAACAAAGTACAAAGCCGTTAAGTTATGTTTAAACCATTTAGTCAGGTAGGCCGATGGATAGAGCGCTGTGCTCTCGTTAAAAAGCCATTGGAGCTTATCATCTTGATTTTTAGTGTAATTTGTACACCTTAAATCAATTTTGTGACCGTCACTATCATAATTGTAACAATCAGGATATAAATAGAAGCCCCACTTGGCTTTCGGCCGCAATTTCTTTGTCAATCTAAGAGTAAATTTCATGAGTGTTTTGGCACCAGATTCATATTCTGATTTAGTCTGAGAAATTATCTTCGATTGTTGCCAATCGGGATGTTCTGCTTTGACTTTTTGAATAGATTTGTCTCTGTAGATGTGCATATGCATATTATCATGGAACATATTTGATCCCACAGAGGGAGCCAGCTTCTCCAGTCAATCACTGCTAAACCTTCAAAATCTAGATCCGGCAACACTCTGTAAACGTCCTTTTTCACTTTATCCAAATGAGCGAATAACGGGATCTCTTGTGGAAGACCTCCATTTATGGGTTGTCCACTATCGTTAAAGTGTGGAAAGAGACCAAGGTCATTTTCGTAAAATATCGATATAACATTACCTTTCCAGCCATTTTTAGTGTTATGCCGAATGCCAAAATGGTCCAGGTAAAGCGAAATGCCATATTTTTCTTCGCATTTTTCACTTGCAACATCCCACGTAACACTAAATGGTTTGTTTGGCAGAAAAGGGCCAAGTATATTTGATTTGATTCCTACGCAGTGAATTTTCGAAAAGCTATCTGCAAACAATATTGCGAATATCCATTTGATGCAGCGCATTGTCAATATAGTTTAAACTTTAAACGACGGGCTTTCATTTACAGACATCTAAAAAAATATATGCATAAATTGCATTTAGTTTTAAAATGCAACACAATAGTGCACCTTCCCTCGAAGGCAATAAATACGACTTACCGAGCTCCGGACTGAGTTTTTGAGCCAGATTGAATGATGGAATATTTTGGTTCACTCATTTAATATTTTACTTCGATATTTTTCAAGTATAAAAGGCTTAAGTACCCTTAACGTTTGAGTATTCATATAATATATATATCTTTCATGTTAATATTATCAGGTAATTAATATGACACAGCAGCCATAGTTTCGCTACTGAAATCACTGGCTGCTTATTATACAAACCCTAACATGGGCTACAATACAACTTACAATGTTTACTCATTTCTCCTGTTATCATGACTTTGTGGCCATGAAATATATATATATAATATTCAGTCATGAAAGGAATTAAACTTCTCGTATCATCGGTACCATTATCAGTGAACATACCTGTATGATCGCTGAATATAGTTATAAAGGGGAACGCAAATTGCAAGTTACATTTGAATTTGTTATGAGAAATTTTGTTTGAATATTTCAAGGCAGATGACACAAAACTTCAGCTTTGTTAGCTATCTTACTATTTCTCTGACCTTTTATTTTCATCTGACCCAGCATACATACATACATACATACATGCGTAACTTTCAGCTCTATCTATTGCTAGGTAGATGGTACTTGGCTAATACTATTTCCTCTTAAATCTAAACTGTCGATCGACTTCATTGAATCAGCAACCTATCAATAAAGTAAAAGCCATGTGGGTATTGATAAGTCGATACGGACCTGTGACGAATACATATGGTTGGAATTGAAAAGACTGCAATACAATGAAAGGAAGTAATTTTATTGAAAATAAAATATCTAAAACACTCTGGAAAGTTATTTCCAAACGAAGTCATATTATGTATTATTTTCTGCCAAAATCGGGCATCGTTTAAAATCCAAATGCTCCCGCCTCTGATTTGTGTTACGTTAACATTAAGCGTGATTTGCTGATTGCAAAAAAAATGTGTGCAAATTCAAGAAGCGCACAGTCGTTACTTGGAAAATTGCATAGAAAAATACCTACACGTGGCCTGCCAAAATTATTTTTTGTGCTATGAGATATTGATAAAACGCATTGAATAGGTGTTTTATCTATAACGCATAGTTGACCAAAATATTTTTGGCTAGGTTGCTAAAACAACAAGGAAGATTAACCTGCATTCTGTGTCGAATAGCTCATAAAAGGCGATTGTCAACTAATTCGCCATAAAAGTCAGGTTACATTACTCATTTTGTAGATTTAATACTACTATATGCTTGCAAATTTTGTGCTCGCACGTCGTCAATTACTAAAATTATCTGAACAAGATCTAACGTGATATATAAGAAATTTACAATTCAGCCAATACGGATATCTACAAATCATATATGAAAGAATCTATAGAAATTAGTGAGTATTCAGAGCGAAAAATTTACAACAGGAATACCAAACGCAATTTTTATCATCGGATCATGCTCAACCACTGAAGTAAAATGTTATATCAGTTTAAAACAGATACAATCACAGGCAAGCATGATAATAGTCAAAATAATCTAAACACCACATCCACAAGAATAAAAATGAAGGGCAAGTTTCAAAACTTTGAAAACTAAAAATAAAATTTGATAGGTTTTGAAAGTACGTTTATCAAAATATCTATGAAACAGTTTAGAAACACATTTCGCTGAAAACGTTATCCATTCAAACCACGAAGGTTCGTTAACTTCCAAAAGTGGGCTTTCAATATTTAACTTGTTAAAACAGTGTTTTACACTTCTACAATATCTACATACCACTATACAATTTAATTACTATAAAGTGTTTTAATCTCTAATACAAAACTAAAATTGAGAAAACATATATATATAAAATTTAACTGTATTTTCATTAACAGTTTGTCAGAAAATCAATATGCAATGAATAATAAAAACTATGAAACGTGTTTATAATTAACTTATTTTGCCATTACAGGCCTAATTACATGTCGTAATGATTTTGTATTAACAATTTTTAATAATTCAAAAAAAGAAAGTCCAATAAAAAAAAATAAAAATATGAAAAGCTCGGCGCTAAAAAACGCCGCGTCAGGTAAACAAGTATTATCCAAAGCATGGTATCTTATATAGTATACCGTGCCAAGTTTATTTATCAAAAATCCTTGATATAAATACCCATCTTCCGATTGTGTAAGATAGAAACTTATACGGAACCGATTGTTAGTGAGTAAGCGCGTGCGGGTAAGCGTTTTTCAAAAACTGATTCGTGGACCGAGATATCAAATTTTCATTCTACTAGAATTTCCGGATATCTCACCGGACAAAGATTTTTATTCATTATCAGCTTTGGAATTCTATCTAAAGTATTCTATCATTCTTGTGTTTCGAAATATTAATATGATTTTAGTCACAGTCTAAATGTAATCGTTTGTGATTGACAAATTCTCTTAATGGTAGCATCAGACCATTTATACCAACAGAAGCTTGCTTCCGAGTACAGTTGGCAGCGATAATTTTGGATGTTCCGGTATGGGATGCCAGTAATTGGGAACAAAAGCATTTGGCAGTGCTCGGATGTCCGGACTATATTGACCGTAAAGTTGCGTTGGCACGCAATGAGATTTCTTGAGTCCTTCTGCGGTCATCGGTGCGAGAAAAGGCATTTCGGCGAAATAATAAAGAGGATAATACGGCAAAGAACTAATGTTAATTCTCGAGTCTACGGGTGGCGGAGAAATGTCTTCGCGTTTGGTGCATTTACGATTCAGAATGCTCTCAATTGTGAAACTTTTAGATGAATCATCTTTATTCGTCTGTGTTTCTTTTTTCTGTTCCGGTATTTTAGCAAATTGTGGATGTCCATTTGTATAAGCATGACACATACTCACAGCAAGTGGATGTTGTGTGCTTACTGGTACACATGGTGGTTGAACCTCATCTGTATCTGAATGGTGCAAGTATCCACCACTTCCGCTTCGTCGTGCAATGCGTTTTCTCCTTCTGCGAAAGACTCCTCCTGCAAATGTGTACTCGCTTGTCGGGTTGATGGTCCAGTAATTATCTTTTCCCCAAGGTCGTGATGGATCCCGCAAGATTTTCTTAAAGCATTCGTTTAATGACAAGTTGTGTCGTACTGAATTACGCCATCCTTTGTATGTTCCACGGAAGAAAGGGAATTTCTTCATCAGGTAGTCGTTAATTTCTGCCAGTGTTAGTTTTCCTAAACATATATATATATATATGATCTTTATTTTATTTTTCTTCCTACTTTCATAGTAATTCATATTTACCATCCTAATGCAACAATTATTACATGCAATTTTCTATTTTGATTTCGGATTTTTATATCTTAGAGAAGAAAAAAGTCGATAAGATGGCTTACTCATATATTGAACTACTCTCATCAGCTCATGTCGGTTTTGAGAATAATTATTCAGTTATTGACATGGGGTGCTCTGACTTCGAGTTATTTCAAAATTACAGAAATTGTTCCTTCACCATTATAATTATGATATAACACAAATTTTACTACGAGGGATTAGGCACAAATCTTAACTTTACTGAAAAAAAAACAAGTAATATAGAAAAAATGTAAAATATCAAAATTCATGGAAATCAGTCTTTTCAAATAGCTTCAGTTTAGAATTTTAATCAAACTGAATTTCTTCGACATTACTAATTACAGTACTCATATTTTGAGCATAATTTAGCAATGAGAACATCCAAACATCTAATCCAAATTTCAGAACGGTTTGAGAAGGATCGAAATTTTGACATCTTCATAAATAATGTTCGAATGTAACCTCATAGATTCGAAAGGTAATTGACACTGCTGATCAAATTACTAAAACTTCTATAAATTTCCGCAGCACAAATATTAGCATTTTTTATCATAAAAAGATATTTCGTTTATGTTCCGATTCGTGAGAAGTTTCAAAGAATACAACCCGTGGAATGGTTCGATGTTTATTCATTCTCTCATCGTGAATATTCTTTATTATTTGCACGAGTACTGTTCAAACTTTAATTGCAGTTATAAATACCCAAATAGAACCACGAAAACAGACCATTCGCACGCGATATCAGTCTTTACTAAAAGAGTTTCACATAGTAAAAAAACAATACCAAAAGCTTTGTTGAATTCATATAAAAATCTATTGTGAAAAATCTATGAATGTGATTTATCCTAAAACGTAAAATATGGCTAGACGTTTGGTAAAATCAATAGCACGTGGATCGATTGTGGTCAGTCTTGAACAAATTTCAGAATGAGTGTGTAAATCTGCAACATTGACTGAAACCCACCCCCCGTATAGGCCATTGGTTATTCCGCCATAGGTTACTACCGAAATATATTTTTCTATAGCGTATGGTGATATCACTTTTTTTAAAGGTATACCTGTTTGAGAATCACGTATCGCCATTGCAATGAGAGCAATATAAGAATAAGGCGGTTTTGGCCGTCGATGATACGCACTTCCACTCTCTGGAATATTTTTTCTTTCTTCATTGTAAAAATCACCGTTCAAGTTCTGAAAAAACATGAATTTTTTTTAAGTAACAAATGGAATAAATTTAACATTTAGGCATCTAATAAACATTTTGAGTCAAAAAGAAAACAGAATAAGTTATGGGTTGAAAGATCATTTGATTTATTTATTTCAGTTTAAAATATTTTAAAAAAAAATTTGACGCGATTTTATGACTGCTGTTTTGTTTTAAGTAAAATGTGTTCATTGCAGAATGCAAATGTCAATTTTTGGGGACGATACTATCAATCGATTCAAATGTGTTTTTCGTTTTACTCAAATTGTGAAAAAATTTGAACGTTTCTTCAAAATGGCGCAAGAATGAATTATCATCATTGCTCGACTGATCGTCATCCCACTTGATTGTGTTTTTAAATCTTGACTTACATAGAATGATAAATAAAGAGATCAGTTAACCAGGATTCACGGTTTTATTTTATACTTTCGTTTCTAAAAATCAATATTTAAACTCATCGTACGGTTTTACGCTTGACAATAGAATCCATTTGCGTTGTCAAGGTAACGTCTTTTGTTAAGGGCTCTCTTCAGTCGTCCATGGGTATGTTGTTTTTCTACGCTTAGCAAAGCATGGGATACTGATGAGTCACACTATTTAAACTTTGATTATGCCAATTCTACGTCTGGCCAGGCAATAATTATATCAGTAAACTGGAATGGTTATGAATGCATGGACAAATATCTTTCGACGTTCCCTTCCATATAAACATAAACAGTTATTCGCCAAACTGTCTAGGAATAGAATAACAGATCGCGTGACAATAATTAGCGTCAGAGTTTTATTGACATTCCAAATCTCTAATATTGGTAATTTTTTCCCGGTTATAACGCACCACTATATATTACGCAATAAGCGAAAAAATTGGGGGATATACATTCACATTTATAACACGCGATTACGTGAACCCCATCTGGTATTCTTTCCGCGTCGCCCCCGCATAGCAGCACAAATTAAATTCTATAAGTAGTCCGTTATCAAAATTGGGAGAATTGGAAGTTTTGTTATTCCGATATCGATATTATACAAGCTTTTTAGTTCCATATTTTAAGCGGAATTTACGTTGAATGGCTTAGATTATCTCGATTTTCACGGTTTCTATTCAACGTTGTTGCAAAAATCCTTCAATGTTTACAATTTGCCTAGTGCATATTTCAAACGTTTTAAAGTTTCAACGCTTCAGAGTTAAAATAGTAAACACCAATAAAATAATGTTTACTTTGAAAATAGCTGTAAGAGACATCAAACACTGTTCCCATCTTGTCGCATAAAACCGACCTTGATCTTAAAGCAAATTTTTGACCTCATGGACGCAGTGACGCACACAGACGGCAACGTGGCGTCTCTTACAACACCCTGTTTTTATTGTCGATTCAAAGGATTTTTTATTCGCTTCCATATCGGCTTCAACGTAAACAACATATCCAACATAACAGATAGTTTCGAATTTTTGATATACCACAAAATAGGAAAATATTATCAATTAGATTTTCTTTACTATGGTAAATATAGCGATGGTAAATTGAGTGGCCAATTATGATTATAAAAATAGGATAAAATAAAATTTTATTAAATTGAAATAAAGTATCAAATTTCGTGTAATGATATAGCGTCAAGTGTGAGTATTCCATGTTCCCTAACAGCCTTTTTAATCTCACATTATCTCGCGTACAAATATATTTCATTACATTGATCTTTTCACGGTACAATAATTACATAATAAAATAAAAAAAATTATCGAGAAGAATTTTAAATGTTCCAATGACATATTTTTTTACCATTTCAGTGTTTCTATAACAGTGGACCAAAAATAATAGTATATTGACATGTTTATAAATACATATTCAAGGTAAATTTATTGCGATGGGGGTGTAGCATTTTATTACTTTAATTTTGTTAATATCATGTCCGTGTTGATTATGAACAATAATTATACTGACGTATAAAATTACACAGAAGCCAATGATTTTTTGTATTTATTTCCTGTTATTGCGAGAAAAAAATATACGAAGGTGAAACCAAACTATTTTTAGAATTTAGTAATATTATGTATAGAAGTTATTAATTAATATTTATTCTAAAGAATTTATATCAAAGAAAAGATTGAACAACGCCTTTTATCTTCACACAAACAATTTCTGCGTGGCAAACACTCCAACGCCTTTATACTAATATTGAAGTCATTCATCGAGGAAAGATGGAAAAACCCCTTGTCACGCGAGTTACTTTTTTAATTCCACAAAAATTCGATGGCAGTCAATTCCCAATCTCAGCGGTTTGGCATAAACATTGCACTCATTTTAAACGAAATGTAACCGAAAATAGTATTTTAGACAATAATAAAAAACACTGCCAGGCGTGGCATGCATATTCAAAGTGGATGTATATATCGAGAGTTCCAAGACAATGGGCGAATGTTGAAATTTCGAAAGTGCTAATCAAAAAATAAATTGCGTCTAGTTTGAAGCAAAATATTTAACGAAGTATTTCAATAAAAAGTTTCAAGAATTTGAAACCCAAAATTGTATTTTTACTCATTTACTCAAGGCAGCATTTTCATGTTTTGTCGTTTTAGCATGAAGCCCTCAATATAAGTCTTTTATATAGCACAGCATTTTTGCTAATTCGTTCATTTTATATCAGAAAAAGTATGGCTGTTTTAGCGAGATAAAGTTGCTTCATTGTGTGCCATAATTTGGTCAGAGTTGCATGATATCAATTGTTATTTATATGAGAACCTCTTCACAAAGCGACGAGTACCGACATGGCTTTATCAACAATTTCACAATTCTTTACATAAGCGTGACCAGAATAGTTGTGTATTTTAATACTAAAATCATAAATGATGCAGCTCAAAGTTATAAATAACAGTAATCATCAAGTCAAAACCAAAGACGTCGAAGAAAAACAAACCCTGCTAAAACGCTTAAAAACAGTGAAAACCCGTCTAAAAACACTAGAAACCCTGCTTAAACGCCATGCTTTACTATAACACAAGTATAGTTGTAGTGCGAGGATTTACGATACACAATATTCCGCTATATTGATAGGAACTTTGTTTTTTGCTAACCAACAAAGATGTGGTATATTTTGGGAATTAGAAGTTCAAACGGACCTCTAGAATTATGTGCACCAAGATGGCGCACAAAAAGAACATAGTACGTGTACCCAGGTTAGGATTCAGGTTGTGCGCCATCTTGGTGCACATACTTCGGGAGCGCCGTTCAAACTATGAAGAAAACTAGTGATGTTTTGTCCTTTACTAACCTTATTTTGCTCTTCAGTTGTCTTGTTAAGTTCAATAGATGGAACCGGAGAATCCCGAAAAACTTCATCATTATCATCTGTAACATTAATAATTTCATCTTCACTACTTACACTGCGACTATCTGACGCAGAAGACGTTGAATTACAACGAAAATATTCTTGACGAAGTGGAATATTTCCACATCTAGAATTAACAAGCATCATGTTGTGAGCTTGTGTCGGCATTCCCTGAACTTGAAAGGTCGTCATGTTCGTTAAAAATTTTATCAGATGTGAAGTTTCAAACTGTAGAATAAATTGAGCTCCGACTTCTGAAATAAAATATTTTGTTATATATATTGCGTATTGCACAAAGATGGAAATATATTCTGCCATTAGCCGCATTATTCTAGGCAAAATGAAAACGCTAAAAATCATGAATTCATATATATATGTCTAATACATCTGAAGTTTAAATATATTTTAGCAACCAAATATGCCTAAAATTTGAGATTACAATTGGAAATCCTAAAAACACGAGTTTAGAGATAAATACCACATTAGGTGTGAGGCATTTGAAACATGTTAATTAATATGTTTTTAATTGATACTAATTGAAATGTAAAAATATAATTAAAATATGAAGAAGATACTTACGAATCTTTTGAAATGATTTATTCGCGAACGCCACCCGACTCCTCAGTGCTGGAAGTCTTAGTCTAGAATTACAATCTGAGAAAAAGAAAATCTATTTTAAACTATTCCAAGTTCCTTTTACCTGTCTAGTGTTTTGACATCGGTTTTACTCAAACACAAAAAGAAAATACCACGAACAACCAACCAAATAGCATGTGTGTGCGAGAGCGATTTTAACGAGAGGGTTTACCCTGCCTTTCAAAAACCTGGGCTGCGTCAATTCTTTTTGTATTGTAGATTTAGTATTATTAAGGCGCTTTTGATTTTTCTCTGCACTCCCGTACTATTCAAGTGGCCTATAACAAAAGGTTCCACTCTATTAACGTTTGGTCGTGCCTCGCCCTTCAATTTCAATCGTCATGGCTTTCCACTCGTATACTCCATACAAAAAGGAAACACTCTCTGAAGGACCGTACCGCACATTCACCTCCCCTTGAATCACCCTAGTTTGTTTTCTTATGTCGTTTCGGAGCTGACAACGAATCGTTTCTTATATACTCAAATTCTATAAACCATACTTCCAAAAGATATTTTACGTTGTTATTCTCTCCGTAAATCTTCTGTTTGATTTTCGTGAAATCGTTTAGTTTGATACCAATCGTTGATTTTATAGCGAGCGTGACGGTTTTAATATATTTGCTCAATGTATATAATAGAATATTATGATACGATTTCTAAATCGAAAAACTGTTCAAGTTAAAATTCTGAAGGTATAGGTTCCAAAAAATCAAGAGCACGAACACTTTGAATACATATATGTGACATACATGTAAGTTTAACGAGTGAAAAACATAATCAATTATTTACATATATTCAATTCCACACTCCTTTCAATAAATGCGATTCACGCGTCGCCCAACGAAAGTACTTCACGTTGCTGAAATAGTGATTATTGGACACTAAATGGACCTATGGATCGTTTTGTTATTATGTTGTTCTTGTTGTTAGTATTTTTTTTTGTTATGAAAAATCGCTTTTCTCCTTAGTCACCGGATAAATTGCTTCGAAATTTTCAGTGGTTAAAGATTGTTGTTCCCAAATTTCGTATGGATCCTTTGAGATCCGATATTTCATCCAAAATTTCGCTATCTTATTTTTATTCACGGGAACATCCTTCAGGCTCTACGTTTATGATTTTGCTACTGAGCAGACACATTTCCGTATGAGTCGCGTAGGCCACCGGTAATGCGATTAGTTATTGGACTTTCGTGTCCATAAATTTCACCTTTGCTCTCTTGAATTAATAAAGATTTATTTTACTAATGTATCTGCTAGGGTAGGTGTCGATATAAATATGTAAATTTTGCTAGTTTTAAAAAAAAGTTGATTTACTGTATATCGGAGAGTTTTCAGAGAAATTTTCTCAAAGCAAGGTCACAATAAAGTGCCGAGAGATCAGAGAAATACAGTCCATTAGGTATCTGCAAAATATGCACAGCGACGCATCATATTGTAGACGGGAAAAAGTTTGCAGTTCAGACCCCCAATCAAATTAAATATTCTTCTTAAAATTGGTCTCTAGACTTAGTACGTCCCAGAAGCACCAGCACAAATATTACAGCAATAGGACAAATATCGTCAATGACGGTAATAAGATCCAACTTTCTTTTATTGATGCTTCCAAACCACCGACGTTGTATCTATTCCAACTCCAATCCTTAGAGATGGTCAGTAATCAGTAATCAGTAATTTATTTTTTCACCATTCCAAAGCACACAATGTGAATACACAATAAAAGAAATAGGAAATATGGTACTCAGCCCAACCAGACAAATTTTGAATAACTAGTCTGAGAATTCCTCTGGCAATGAAATCGATGCTGTATCGGTAATCATGTAACGGTCAGTTGGACCAAGACAAAAATAAAAAGTTGTGTTGTCAGCATAAATGAGTGAAGTACAAATAAGATTATCAGGAAGGTCATTGATAAATATTAGAAACAATATAGGTGTAAGATTTGAGCCCTGAGGAACTCAATGAAAAATGAGGTATGTCCAGGAGGGCTGACCATCAAGAACCACGTGAATTTCGCGATCAGAGAAAAACGATTTAATGATTGACAAAAATGTGACAACTATGCCATCGGTTCGAATTCATGTGTTCATTTTTCAACAATCGTCTAAACTAAACAAACAAAATGGAAGACTGAATTTTTTTCAATACACATCCTGTCGCGAAGGAAGCAAATAAAAAAACTTGGTCCTACATTAGCTGTAAGTTATACTAGGTTTTCGTGAATGCCATATGAAACCTAAGCACGTCAAACGAGATATTCCAATAGCAAGTTGCTTGGTTTCAAATGCTTCGGAGAGTTTATGGACCAAGACAATCGCCATAACAGGGAGTGTTGTTTAAGTTGTTAGTTCTCAAGATCTCAAACGCCATTTTTTTTAAATTAAATAATAATAAGGAAAGAAATGAGTAGGTCAGTTAGCTATCATTCAACCATTGCGTTTGTCACTTCACGAAGGCTTTGCATAAGGCTGTATGAAGTGAACTCGCGCCTGGCTTGTTTGGTTACTTGAGATTAACGTTGAGAAATCCGACATATCTGTGTATAATAAAGTTGGGCAGTCCGATAACGGAGTGGTCAATAGCAATTACTCTGTCAACCGAATTAGTGTCACCCAAAACGAGGTGCTTTATCACAACCAATTATGGTGAAGTTTGTAAGTCGGAACAACCCGGATGAGTTCTTACAATGTGAGAAAACCTTCAAAGGGATGAGATAGTTGAATGGTTTTCCTGGCGTGTCATCTCTGTACATAAACGAAAAATCTAACCAAGAGAATGAAAAGTCGTATGCACCAAACCAGAATGAAGAAACATCAAATTGAATACCAAAGTTTATGGTTCTACAACGGAGACATTTTTCAAACATTTGGAAATACAACAAAGGAGTTGAAATCAGAAAATGGCCCATGAGATTCTTGATTCTAGCACACTGAGAGTAAACTGTTTTGCATTAAATGCTTCCAAAATTTCGATGTCAGTTATGTATAAAAGATTGCCTTCGCAGTGTAATTTACTGTGACTTATGTCACTCATAGTTAAATATCAAATGTTGAGGCTTTACTATTGATCAGTTTATCAAACTTGATATTTTCGGGTATGCCCGCCCCGCCTGGAGATCAAATTCACCTGTGCACATAGGTGTTGATAGTCTAAAACAGGGGTGTGCAACCTTTTTTATTGGCGGGCCAAATACAAGTAACTGGGTGAAGCCGCGGGCCGCACCTTTATTTAATTTAGGCTTTCTGGTAGTTGCAAGCACAAAAATTGCCTATATTTGCGATTGATCTTACGGCATTATTAGGGGTTCTTGCAGAAATAGTAGATTTAAAACGCATAAACTTCTGAAGAAACTGCTATTTAAATTTTTTGTCACACCGACTTCAAACGAATGCAGTGAGAAACACGTTTTTGTAATATAAATCGTGTATTTTGCAACAGAATTTTGCTAGCTTGTTTTGCTAATATGACTGGTATGGGCTTTGCGACGAAAAAGAATAAATACTCGTTTTGCGGGTACACCATTCGAAATTGTTATTTCTCCGCGGGACCCACAACTTCTTCTTGCGGGCCGCATTTGGCCCGCGGGCCGCAGTTTGCACACCCCTGGTCTAAAAAGTCACGAAATGATATAACTATGACACACTTGAACATCAGATCGATTGGTAAAAATTTAGAAAAACTTAGTAATCTTCTAGACGATTTAAATTTCCTCCTGATATCATAGCCGTATAAGAAACATGAACACACCGGTCTATTTCAGTAAATAGTAACTTGCCTAGACTGTGTTGAATATTTCAGAACTGATGAATATATGCTTAATCTTGTTGACTGTGAATAAGTGTCAAACTATTCAATGGCAAACAAGTGATTTGTGCAGTAATTTATACATGTAGACATCGCAAGCAAGACTGCAAAAAAGTCTAGACTTTGTTCAGCGAGTCGATGCACAAAATTATGGAAAACAAAAATTTGTGCGAAACTTCCGATTTTTTCGTTTCAGAATACTCAAACATGTCACCGTCTAATTCATTACTAGTGTTATTATCAGCGCCTACCCCAATCACTAATAATTCTTGCACATTAATTGATCACATATACAGCAACGAAAATGAATTACAGTTGTTGGGTTATGTGCCTTGTGGTATGATATTTCTGGCCATCTTCCTATGACCTATACTAGTGTGTATAGTTCGTGATACGCGATTGAAAAAGAACCCTGGTACCAAATTTGTGCGATCATTGAAATATATCCAACTTCCATTTTGTGCGAACCTGACTCCTTTTTGTAGGACATTGAAACCTTGAAACCATGTTTCACGATAGGTATCAATAAAACAATCTCGACTCGTAAACATTTATATAAAAGTCATTTTGTATCCAACGACAAAACAAAAATATTACAAAACTCCAACATTCATACCTTAGAAAAATGTCTAAAATGATTTTAGAACTAAGAAATAAACCGAGAAAAAATCAAAGAACTAGAGGGTGACTCAAAAAAGACAATCTCGTTAACACAATCACTTATTAGAAGATTATACGACATTTTGCCACGAAATTGAGACACGTTATGGCATCATTTGCAGCCTTCAATCCATTTGCCAGAAATTTGACACTTACGTTGTAAACGTTGGTCTTAATCTGACATCGAAGCTTGAAAAGCGTACTTTCAATTTGATGAAGTATTAGGGCGAACGTTAGGAAAATTAAATTTACCTGGAACCTATACTAGAATACAAAATTATTTCCATTGTAAACTAAATGCACTCAAGGAAAACATTCGGTCCGAACGGTCTGTCTATTCGTAATTATTGTATAAACTTCATCATTATGGTATTACACGTAAATCCCTCTCGCTAATCAAAAATTACATAAGCGCACGTATGGAGTAATAATGTGAGATTCACGTCACAAAATGTTAATATGGTTGTACCACAAGGTTCTGATCTGGGTCCTCTATTGTTTATACTCCACGTGAATGATATTCATAACCCCACGTGAACCACCCTACGGCGGCGAGGAGTCCAGCAATCCTCTCGCACATAATTTTCCCTGTAGG